GCTCGTGTATTCATTAGCCGTCGGTATAATCGGCGCCATAAATCCCGTCGACGCAACACTCTGTACGGCAGACACCCCGTCGAAGGTGGTGCACCCGTGCAACGCCTGGTATTTATAGTCGTCATCGTGCCGTTTGCTCGGTATTAGCCCAATTTGCGACGCGTCCCCCACTTAGCTCAATTCTCGGTGTCGCTTCATTTAATCCTGACGAAGCCGCGCACTCGACAATGTCGTCTCGCCTGTATTTTTAGGAAAAAATTCCGAATCCCCCGTAAAACTGTACGAGGTTTCGTCGTGCCGAATACGTTGCGTAAATAAAATATACCAAGTATGAGATGATTATATACAATTTTTGTACGGAAACGTACCGACTAACGCGCACTCTATAAAATAAATATGTATAGTCGCGTCAAATTAACCATTTCAAGAGCCATTATAAAAATAAGCATTCAATATCAATGTTTTTCGTATTTACGAGGCGACATTCAGTTTAGCAGGCACAGAGCGTTTATGCCGCCAAATTCGTTTACTATGGCCGCGTCATCGCGAGCATACTACACGTCTCTAGAGACTTCCGTCGTGAAAGAGCGACGATGGAGCGACGTGAGCGGCTCGTCGAGATATTGCTTAGTACTCTCACTCTCTTGCATATAATTTACATTTTCCACAACCTATATACCTATGCTCCATCGTACGCCAAAAACTATTCTCGTAGTCGGTCAACTCTGCGATTTTCATCGTCCTTGTGCACTTGGTGCCACGATCGTCGCTTCGTTTCCACTCGAGAAACTAATCGAAAGGCCCGCTGCCAAAAAAATGCCGAAAAACTCGAAATCAAGATATGCATAAATGCTAAATATATCCGTCATATTTAATACGAGAAATATTTCAAGAAAACGAGATATTTAATTTATTTTTAACGCTTGTGCCATTTGACAGAAGCAAGACTATGCCGAGACTAATTTTTACTTTTAATTACAAATTTTATCCACTTCTCTCTTTGCTTCTATTATCTATTCTTCAAAATGAATCGAAATGAGAATGAGTTTTTGGCGTCGAATCTCTCTAGTCTTATCACCAACAATTACGACGATTCGAACGTGATTGCTATAAAAAGGATTCCCGGACTTTTCATCATACGATAATCAATTACGCGAGGTATAGTGCGCGCACGCGTTTCGCAAATGATTCCAAAGCGTTCACTTATACATCGTTCATTCTCGAGAGCGTAATTACTTATTTCACGGCGCTCCGGAGAACGTAAATCAAAGAGTTGATTCGGAATTGGTAGAAATTTAATTACAGAATCGCATTGATCTAAGTTTATTAATTGCCGGCTTGATTAATGTATCGCTTGCTGTAACTAGTAACCCAATTATTTATAGCACAGTTCCTATTCAGTCTATAATTTGGATGGATTGCACAAACAATAATCGAATTTGAATTGTTATTGTACGGACTTAAACTTATTCTCCAATGTACTAATCTTTCATTTTATTAATAATGAGCATAAACTTAATTACGTATGATCAGTTGTTGATAAAACTTTGTATTTCTCTATAGTTTCATCACGTAACTAGAAAAAAAATGTAATTGCGTTACAACGTTCCGAAACGTAAGTATTGTATCAAATAATTTCAAAGGGAGGATGTAAAAAAAATGCCACTCCACCTGTTTGAGAAAGTGCATTGACCCTATTCATCCGCACCTGGTCCTGTCATTGCCCCTCAAAAATGCTAATGCGCCATCTTTAAAACCAATTTCCGAGGATAATTAAGAGATATAATCTTTAAGCGAATGTACTCAACTGTACGTTCGAGGAAATATATAAAAAATTGCCGCAATTCTGATTTCTATTGCATAAATTTTCTTCAATATCAAACTATTCTTGATTACAAACTATAATAATTTACCCGTTTTTTTTAACTTATGTTTTCGACTGATACATTGAGAAAAACCGAACGTTAAAAATATATCCAGGTCCGCCAATTATTTCTTCAGGATGCCGAAAATTTTCAGTCAACACACGCACAAATGCCTGATAAACCTGGATGCGTGGTTCGGAAACAAAAACATGACTCGAAACATGTGAGATTTTCACGAGCGATGGTCAGAACGAACGTCGACTCGTTGTACAAACATGTGTCAAACGAACATGGAGAACGCGGTTTCAAAGCGGAAACGAAACAAGGATAAAACTTGTCAATCCTTTCGGCTCCAAGAGAATTTCGAAAAATAAGTTTTCAATTTAATGCTAATAGATTTACAGTCGTGGCTTTATTGACTTGACAATCTATTATATATCTCGGCTCGAATCTTAGCGAATCTTTGTACAAGTATCGATACGAATCGCCTAAAGCACTGTACATCAAATATACATCGACACAAAACCGTGAAGCAGGGTTAAACGATTCGAAAACGCGCCATTTTCCACTTGGTTTACTGCTTATTCGGTCCCGCGTTTAAACCAGTCTCGATTTATTCCTCGTGTGTGACTACTCCGGTAAAATCTTAAGTGCTAATGGCCCCCTCGAGCACCCGACAAACGTACGTAATTTCATTAGCACTCGGGACTTTCTATGCTTCGGCTCCCATTTTCCGCGCATTTCCCCACGATTTGACAGTAGAAAGCCTGTTTGTTGAAAATATATTTAACTCTCCACTAATCAATGCTATTTTAAGTATGCTCAAGCGAAACGTCTACATTTCAAACAAAATTTCTCATTTTTCAAGTTGGAGCATTTTTCTCTTAGAAACAATATTTAAAAAACAAAGTTAAATAAAAAGAGATCAAAACTACATTACATGACACAAATGACTTTTAATTAAATCAAAGAAAAGCTCAAGCATTTTTTTATCGTTTCTAATTATATCAATGTCTTACAATTGACATTCCGTTGAGAAAAATATTACCCCAAGTTGATAAAAAAAGTGTTGAACAATGAACAACATTTCCATAAAAATGAATATTAATACTCGATAAGAGAACATATTGGATTTCTCTTACAGTTCTCCTTCGGATTCCAACATTAAGCGCAACGTGCAAACGTTAATTAGCGGCTATTTCCCTTGGAACATCTCAGATGAATCGCATCGATTACTAATACGTTTCAATGGCGATCTCGCGATAAACTTTAATCCTCTTTATGCGAGATACGAAAGGACAAGATGACAATTCTAGCGGAGCAGTTAAGCGGTTATGCTCCCGCGAAGAAAAGATCGGTCGCGGTGATACTTGTAAAATTAGCTCGCCGCTTCCTCTCGCGCTCTCTCGTAGCACTTGCCAATGTCGTGCGCGTAAATTCCTGCGTGCCGACGTGGACTCGCAACCGCGCGCAAATTAATAGCCGTCGAGCTTCAGAAAAGTTGCCTCGAAAAGCGCACTTGGTGTAACTAATCCCGGTCGGTGCCATAAATTTCGCGCTACCTGCTGTTTTCCACTCTATCTCGGCGAAGATAATGTATGTTGGCGGTATTTACGCGGAAAGTAAGTATCAATGCCCGTATAGTGATAAAAGTGCGAAAAACTCGATTCTTCTTTTTCCGAATGTATATTTCCTTCGATCTCTATCGCATTCTCCGGCGCAATATTTCTCTACTCCTCCGCCAAGAATGAATTTCTAATAAAAGTGGATTATTTCAGATAACGTTTCGAACAAGGAGAAGGTATCCCATCGAGCAGGTCCCGCAGCGACGCTTATCAATTAGCGGTAATTGCCTTTAGTCCACGTAAGTATCGACAACGCGCGATAGAGAGCGATCGATCCCGAAATGTCACGGTTTTTGCTGCCGCATTATCACGCGACGCCCTCGACTGCGCGACGGAGACTCGAAACGGGGAATTAATTAAAAGACTCGGGCCGCGGCAGGTGTCGCGACGGGGCTACGCAACGCGTAGTTTCGCCAAATTATTTATCCGACTGTCAATAATCGCGCGTACGCGGTGACACGAACCGTTAGCATAATTTATCGCGCGTCAATTAAGGATGATTGCACGAGCTCACCTTTTTTAAGACGCTATTGACGCATTAATCTCTCGGAGGGGAGATTTAGCTCCCGGAATGCATTTCGCGGAAATGCAACGTCAATTACAATGTTGACGCGCCGTCGATATGGCGTGTGACAGTCGTTTGATTCGCCTGTCGTGGCGATGTCGACGGGCAATTATCCGCGCGTCACGGCTACGTGTTTCTCCAATTGTTTCGACACTAAGAATGATAAACTAATAAATTATCTCGTTTAAAATGTCAAAAGATATCTTGCCATGTATTTTAGTCGCGCGTAATATTACGAAACATTACGTGACGATTCAACAAACTGCGACATGTATCATTTACTCCAGTGTAATATGATTCAAGGACTATTCACTTGCATTTCGAATCGGCGCGAGAGGAGCATTTGTTAAACATAGTTTCGAACCCACCGCCCTTTAAAACGTCGTGAAATACGATCGCGGTTGAGTGTCACTCGTTATATCGCGGCGCACAAAGGATTCGAGACTCGAGCGATGACCCAGAGAGTTAACCCGAAGTTAACCGAGAGCAATTTCAGAATTGGCCCAGGGTTAGCCCTTGTCTCCGGGAAATAAATAAATCACAAGTGGAAGCTGCGCGTAACTGGTGGGGCCAATGCAATTTTCCGACCATCATCTTTTAATGCAGATTACTCGTTTTCATTAACTCCCGCCGGAAATGGCCGGAAAAGGCATAACAATTTTAAGCAGCTCATGTCGAGGGAGCTCAATTTTCATTCAAAAAGTTTTGCTTTAACTAGTAATTTTCAGTTCTTTTCTTTGTGTTATTAAAAAAAATTTTTTTAAGAATTTAAATATCGGTAATTCTTTATATCCAAGAGAAATTCTCTCTTTCTCTTCAAATCTATTCTATTGTGTCGCGTTCTTTTATACTTTCTATCTTTCTCAATTGTCTACACTAATATACGATTAATAAAATTTAAAAAATATACCCTTGGTAACAGCTGCCGAGATTACGTTCACCTACCTTTTCGATGGCTTCCAGCGCCGCTTGAGCACGCCCAGCATGAGTAAACCGACGAGGACGAGGCCTGAGCGTCAACGGGTCTCCGACTCGCACCAGCACTAGCACTACAACGGACCACCACACAACCACCGAAACAACTTGGGGGATCTTTCTATCGGCCGCGCACGAGTCGCACCATCGTCTCCACCGAACGAGAGTTGCTCTTATCTTTAGTCCCTCGCGATGACCGATCAATTTCCCCGACGATCGCCGGATTCAACCCTTTCGCGGAATCGCTCTCCCGTTTTTCGAGCAGCTTCTTGTCATCCTCGTTACTGCACACCCTTACTTGCCGGAACACCTTCAATCAGAAAAAACGTGCACACTTTTCATACAAATCCGCCAAGGATAAATTCTGGAGCTTGACGACACGTTGTTTCGTCGACGGCAACTTGGATAACTTGGATAACGAATAACAATCGTTCCACGCGAGCAGCCGTTAAGTATACAATTTACATGAAACGTTACGTGAGAAGGACGATTTCCCGCAGCGTCGCGATTTTACGACGCGAGCCCTATGTAACGCAACACGCTCGCCAAGATTCTATTTGCCATTCACAAAGGATCTCATAAATAATAAAGCACGTCGCTCGACAAATATTTATCCCGCTTCCGGGCTCGCGGAATAATTTATCGCCCTTCGAGAGAGAGAGAGAGAGGGGCCGGCGTCGCCAAGGAAAATTTGATCGATAACTCGAACGCTCCGAATCCCACGTTTAAATACCGACGTGTGGCTTTTATCCCGAATATCGGGAGAATCGTTTTTACGTCGCTGCCTAATTGACCCCGCCGGGAATTGATTAAACATCGAATTATAAATCACGACCCTCTAATTATAATCGACAGAGCTCCAAGGAGACGGCCAGCGAGGGAAATTCAGCTCCCCCCACAAAAACTGCGCCGCCTCTTTCCCTTTTTTCATTTATTTACCTTACACCCACAGAAAACATTTCCAACATGTTATTACAAGCATATTTATTGTAGAGAGGGAGAGCAACATTTTGTCGAATATCGTGCTGCCAACAAAAGGAATTAACCGTCTTGATTAGCATACTACATTGCTCGAAAGACAATATTTGAGAAACAGACGCTTGCACAAATAAGTATACGCGGAACAAATGCAGTTGAATTTAAAAAATAATTAAGTTGCTTGAATTAAATAATTGGCTCAATTGCATTTGCCATGGATTCAACTAAATATCCAGACGTTTTCCGTTCATTCAACTTGTTTCAACCATTTAATTTCACTTGCACTGTTGATACATGAATTTGTTCCGTGTTGGTGAAATTTCCGCAACGCGAGATGAAGAGTTAACGAGCGCGATTGTGCGTGCCGCGGGTTGCGCGTCGATTTCCGATCCTTCGAATGGGGAATGACGCTTAAGCCGGTATTAGAGCGACCTTGATTCGCTTTCTGAGATTACAGGTTCGCGAGCAATCGCGATCAGTGCGGCCGAGCATCCAATTGCCGCGAAATTGCATAACCCGCGCGCTCAAAGGCTATTTCGAGCGGCTTAACCGCGGTTGGCGCGCGGGGCGGGGGGTACAAATGGATATTTTATTTGCCGTGCGTTTCAAATCACGTTGACAAATAACAATTCCGCCGGTGGACGGATATTAAAAGGGCATCTCGGGAAAATTGTTGCGTAATTTAAATCGTATTTAGGAAAATGCAGCATTTCGCGTAAATATTTCTATTCAATCGGGGAAAGGAATTGTAATATTATTGGAAAAATATCCAGTCCGCGAGAGATGCATTTTCGTGGCGCTCCATTATCGAGGTATTTACCTTCTAGTTATTGCACGCCGATCGAGTCAGAGCGGGTTTAATGACGTTGCGACATCCTTTTTTTTCCAAAGAGAGAAATTCTCCGCCGGAACATTACCGTTAATTAAATTCACCGGGGACCCTCGCGTTTGGCGTACAATTTACAAAATGCAAAAATAGTTGGCGAGGGTAGGAATTTTAACTAAATCGATTCAACATGGCCACCGAACGGACTTCGCGTGGACTAATACATTCCGAAAGGGACTTTTCCCCGAGTATCCGACCGGCGATCGAGCTCGCCGGCTCCGGACGCACTCCCCAGGATCACGGGGCGATCAATAATGGCACGCGCGCGAGAGAGAGAGTTGAAAACTAGAGCATCGCGCGAGATGCCTCCCCCTTTTTTCCAAACGCATCGATCGGTTTACTCACCTCATTTTCGCCGGTTCCGGCTCCAAGGGCAGCTCACGAGACGGAGACGCGCGGCGCAATCGACGATCCTTGCTACGCATCTCGACCATGTTCGACCCGGTGACCGCGATTCCGACGCCAAGGATCAACTTGCGGTCACGGATATACAGACACGCACTGGCGGAGTTACTCGCGCGCGCGCGCGCGCACGCCAAACGACGGAGCGACGGCACGAAGCGACCGCGCGTCGAACTCGGACTGAGCCTACACGTCACGAACAGGAATCGGGCGCGCGCGCCGGCGTCACCCCCACCACCTCGCGTTGGCTCACAGGTGCGACGAGGAAGCACTGCGACCGAGCCAATTCCGAGAAATACGCGCTCCGCTATAATTCCCGGAATCGAGCGGCCGCTTTTCTTCATGTTTTCAATGTTTTCATCCGGCTCGCTATTTCACCCTTGTCTCGCTCGCCGAATATTTCACGAGAGAAGGACGCAATTTCTCTCCTTTCCTCTTGCCGCCTTGCCCAACTTTTAAAAAGTCATTTCTCACGTGTCTCGAGGCGTAGAAAGCGAATCCGCCCGAAAAGATGCCATGTAGTCAAAATGAGACTTGATGAATAAAGAGATTTTTTCACATTTCGCGCGCTGTTGATGAAACGCGGCTTTATTACTCACGCGGTCTTAGGCGCGACAATATCTTGTCCTTTTCAGCCCCGATATCGGCTAACCTGAGGGGAATACTTGGTTTCAGGAGCGATCGCGTCATCGACAACTATTTTGTCTTGATAATGCCCTCAGTGGTATTTGCAGCAACTACAATTTAGTAGCCTCCTCGTCGCTACGATACGATATAACATCAGCGAGAGTACCGGGCGATAAGATAAGATTTGCATCGCACTAAAAAGTATCTGGCTCTTTGTGCGAGAGATATTTAAGTGCGCAATAAACGCGTCTCCTTGGTTGTCAATTGCTAATGAATTATATTATGTTAGTTGAGCATTGAAGCCGGCGGCTCGCTCGCGTGTGTACGCGCAACCGCCCGCGCCGATCGGCGATTTACTCACGTTCTCATTTTAGGGCCGAGTTGGAGCACAGAGCTGGACGCGGACGCATCGATTTCTCCCCCGTTCCCGGAGACTCCCCGCGTGCGGACACGCGTGCGACACCATCCAAGCGGAAGAGTTAAAACGGGCGTTCTTCCGAAAACCTTGGCAACAAAAGGAAGAGAGAATTTTTATTATCTCTCGTGGTGCTCCCAATTAGACAACAACGATTCACGCCTGCAGTTAAATAAGAATTTTATTGTCCGAGTAGCGTAATTAATACAGAATCGATCAACTTTTGTCAACGTAAATATCACAATCGCGCGTTACGTACAGTTTTGAAAAAGGAAGAGATTACGTTGGAAAGGATTGAAACATTCGGGGTCAAGTTCAACCTGCGTGAATGATGGACCGAAAGCAGGCGCAGGTGAACGACGTTAACGATTGCAGCAAGACTGGTTTATCAAGATTTCATGCAGTCCTTCACAGGTAGTCCCTGCAGGGCAGGAAGGGTGGAAGAAATCCAAGTGGATCGCTTGTGAAGCCATCATTGAAACTGATGGTTCTACGCGGGAGGTACGCCGCAACTTGCGTCTTATTCATGAAACGATCATCTACTTCTCAACACCGTCGCCTTTTCAATAGCCCACCTGTGGACTCGCCGTCAAATTGTCAGTATCGTAAATCCCGAGTGTTATTATATGTTAGAAATTCGTCTTTTCTCTATTTCGAAAAATTTATCCACTTTTCAAAAGATTGAACATTTTCATTATTTATCGTTTTATTCAGATTTTAACTAACATTTTCAACTCTCATTACTACGTTAGTTGTGCTATTTAAGTCCACTTTGATCATTTAAACGTTCGTACACTTGAGGGTGATCTCTCGAGAGAATATCTCGGCAGCTTTTGCTATCGAGAAAGTTAGTAGAAGAGATACACCGTGGTGGAAAAAAACCTAGGCCCGGCGGGGAGCGCGGCAGCGAGCGCGAGCAACGGGCGACCCGAAACATAAACATTGTATCTCGCTCCACCTCCCGCTCATCGATCGATTTTCTTAAATGCCTTCCGAGTCCGGCCTACCGTCTCCTGCATCCTCATTCGCTCAAACGTGTAAATTAATTCCTCGATAACTATTGTTACTTTGTACCGCGGTACATGATATTTCTCCTTATTTTAACCCAATCTATTTTCAAGGTGGCTACTTTTGCATCAGACACCCTGTATAATAAATTGAACGGATGACCTTGACGTGTACATGACTCATTTTTAAATCGATCGGTCATGATTGCACAGCATGATGTAGGGAAAGGAAACCGAAATTGATATTCAGTTGTCATTCATCTTGTCACGTTCCTCTTTATAGGTGTTGTAGTCCCAGGAAAGGAAAGAAGGAGAGAGCAAGAAGCATAGATGCCCGTACCATCTGGTCTTCCACCTGTGCCCAGCCAACTGTTTCTTCGCCGGTGCAACCAAAGTAAGTCCAGTTTCAATCCCTAACCTCTTTCAGCATTTTATGCTCGCGACGACAACGTAAGATATATGTTTCAAGAAAACGTTGAAAGATTTTCAGATTCGCCTGTATAAATATTTCGAGCTGTCAAATTGTTTCACAACCAACTTGTTTAAGCAACAAGATTGAATTTTGTAATAATTTCTTAAAATGTTTATACAGTTGTACAAAAATATACTTAAAGAAAGTTAGAGACTAAACAAAAGGTTAAAGAAAATGAAGTTACATATCTATGCGAGTAGCTGTCATAATGTGTATTTTCACAGAGTGTCAACGTCAGATTACGTCTTCTTCACATGAAAAAATATCTTAATGTATATAATAGCTGTGCTGAAAGTCTTACATCGATTGGAAAGTCTTACATCGATAACTGTTATAACTTAATAACAAAAACTCCTCAGCTATATAAAATACTATTTAAACTTTATTAGGAGCATATCTGTGCAGAGCGAACACTATAAAGTGCTTTTATATTAAAAAATGGACAATCAAGTGAATCCCAAGTCTTTTAATTTCTCCAATTCTCATATATACTATACATTTCGTAAAGTTTTCAACATAAAAATATTAGAATAAAGAATAAAAATGTAAGTGGTTCCGGCCGGGATCGAACTGGCGACCTTCTGCGTGTAAAGCAGACGTGATAACCGCTACACCACGGAACCTCGATGACTTTCGCATTGATCGTTGCATTCATGACTAGGAATACACTTTTTATATACAATTTTTAGTCTTACATATTCTCGCTAACTAATACAAATTTATTTAAATATTTAAATAAAATATCATTACTTGCGGGTTATAAACGACAAAATCATTTCAAAGCATTAATTAACGCGTTATTTGTACTCGATCGATAAATCACGTGGCTTTGTCTCGTGTCGTACAGATGGCAACAGCGATCTACTCGTATTTCTTAAATTATTATACATAATTTTATATTTGGTTTGGACATCGGTGATTTAATTTATTTACAGTATTGAAAATGTAATAAGGGGAATAAGAGGTGATAATTTTAATATTAACTATCGAACAAAGTATATCTTTCTTTTTTTATATTTACGGGATTTAAATTATAGGATTTTTCTATGCCCTTGTAATTTTATTCAAATTTTATGATTATCTCTTAAACGATTATTATTTTTTAAACAAATCAAATAAATATTACCATTGCAAATAAGAATCTTGATTTTACCGGTATGAATCTAACATATAAAAATATGTCAGATATATTTAATACGATTAAATGTATATTTATTATTATACAATTCAACAACCAGGTGTGCCTTAAAGTGTGATATCCGCTTATAATGCATGAAAAGTGAATCGTATCCAGACGTGAGTCCTCGGTAGTATAGTGGTTAGTATCCCCGCCTGTCACGCGGGAGACCGGGGTTCGATTCCCCGCCGGGGAGATTTTTTTTTCTTGTATTATAGTTATGCAACGTTTCATACACAAAATAATGAAGCAAATAAGAAAGAAGTGTATGCATGTATATTGTTATTATGTGTACAAGTGTTTCTTTAAAATGTCAATTCTATAAGATTAGCTCGATGAGTTGGAGATTTATATTGTTTTAAATATTTCAAGAAGCTTTTTATTTTTTCAGCTACCTATATATTATACATTTTTCATGATTTATATTCAGCTATTTCTAATTATGTTATACTTAGTAATTGGAATTTTCCGCCCGGAAGTGTAGAGACAGTCCACACTCTAACGTAACTTCCGGCGTTCCACACCGTATCCAGTTATGTATAGAGATCGTGGTTAAATCGGAACGACTTTCTATGCTGTCCAAGTTTTATGCGCGACTCGGAATATGAATGCAATTTACGAGTGATACATTGCGAGATAATCCGATGTAGATTTGTTTAAATAGTACAAAAATATCGGAAAAACTGTACAGAATAATTTCGGTTATCAAATAACCTATATACGTCTTTATGCTTGAAAAACCTAAGAAGAATGTTGAGCACGGGAAGACGCCTCGTACGACTCGCAAGGAGTGTTAAAAACTTGCATCAAGACAGTCGGAGATCCGTACCTTCAAAGTTTGAAACCTTGCCAAGTTAGAAAACATGATTTTATATATATATATATCGGATTAATAAATTACTTAAAGCGACGTTTCTTATAGTTTTCCAGTATCCGCTAAGTCAGGCAGATGACCGCAGAGTGTACGTGTGGGGCCTCGCCGAGCATGGTGCTCTTGGTGACTCAAAAGCATTGAAGGTCTCATACCTCTCGAAGCCGAAAAGATTGTCGTTTGCTGAGCGGCATAAAGTCGTAGATATTGCTTGTGGATATGGCTTTACGGCTTATGCTGTGCATTCTTCAGATAAGAATATTGTTTATGGCACTGGCATAAATACAGATTCACAACTTGGTAATTATATTTATTGACTTAATCAGGGACACTAATAGAAATTTTGTTTTTCTGTGCAATAGGTTACAACCTTGATGAGAAAATACATAATATGATATTTCTTCCAAGGCCAATAACGTTGCCGTTGCATAATACCTCGAGCAAAGTTATAGGTATGGCTGCTGGAAGGGCACACTTATTAATATTAACGACAGAAGGTCTATTTACATTGGGTAATAATGCATATGGCCAATGTGGCAGGCCAATTATACTGAGTGAAAATTATGAGAAAAGTATGGTTGTGCATTGTATACCTGATGTTAAAAAGAGCAAAATTATTGCTGTGACAGCCGGCCAAGATCATAGGTATAAAATATTAATTGTAGAATTTCTTTCATTTTTCACTTGTATTTTCTCACTAACATTATATAACAGCATACTGTTGACAGAGACAGGTCAAGTGTACACGTTTGGTTGGAGTGCTGATGGACAGACTGGTCTTTCACACTATCAAAATGAATATCGACCAAGTTTGGTCAAGGGTGACCTGGCAGGACAGCGTATAATCAAGGTTGCCTGTGCCGCTGATTGTGTATTAGCTCTTAGTGGTATGTAACAGGAATACCTAGACCAAGTATTTCTATTATTAAGAAAACAAACAAAGATATATATCTTCTCTTAACTATTTCCCATCTATGTGATACAAGAATGTGATATAAAGTTTAACTTGAGATTATCGATAACTCTATATACGTAAGTGAATAAAAAGATTTCTATTGCAGATAAAGGGAAAGTGTACGGTTGGGGTAATTCAGAGTATGGTCAATTACCAGCCAGAGGAGATACTTACCAAATAAACGTTGCCACAGAATTGGATACGCAGGAATTAGGACACATTACAGACATTGCGGCAGGTGGAAGTTTTTGCATGGTTTTGAACAGTAAGTAGATTTCAAACAATGTTAATTTACCAATCGTTTCAATGATTATTACTTATATAAACTGTTCAAGTATTAAATGTTATTATTCGTTATAGATGATGGTAATGTCTACGTATGGGGATATGGAATACTCGGTCTTGGACCTCAAGTACAGAAAGTATTAAAACCAACCATGATTCCTCCTACATTGTTTGGCAATAACATATATAATCGTGATATCAAGGTAATAAAACTAATTTAAACAGAGTGTCTACTATCATAGAGAAAAACCTGGAAAAGCTAGAATTCTCTCTTTCTTGTCTGGAAAATACGTGAATTGCCAGGGAATTTTTGTTAAAATCGCCTTTATTATATTTCGTGGGCAATCGAAAATTAGCCGAATGTTCCAAGCATCATTCCATCTTTTACTGTATTTCTTGGAAATAAAACCAAAATTTTAAGACTCTTGGTACCATTCTCTTGTTGGAAATTGTAACGTTAGAGGTGAGAAATGATACGCTGAGAATTCTTTCGTTACATTTTTTTGAAATAAAAAGATATTTGTGTTAAAAAACACTCCAATTACCATTTAAAAATATCCGAAAACTAATCTTTCCTGCCAACAGCCAATCAATAGAGTTAAATGGTATAAAATATATGTTTTATAAAAATCCTTTTTATTTTATTTGACAATTTTTATAATTTTAAATTTTCTCTTTACGATTGCGCGAAAAGGATACACATTGTGAACGAGATAGGAATAACCTATACAGTAATTAAAGTTATTTTAAAATTGCATAAAAAATGATAATAATTTGGCTTGGAAGTTTCAATGAAAATACTTGGAAAATTAAGGAATCTCTTTCAATAAATAAGTCCTGTTAAAGAAAATTTCAGTCTCTGATTCGCAAAATCTTTCGTGCGTATATTATTTGTAATAAAAACTACATCAATTTTTATACTTTGTTAGGTAACAAATATATATTGTGGGATTGGTCAGCTAGCGGCGCTAACTAATTCGGGAGATTTATACATGTGGGGTTGCAATAAATTTGGATCTTTAGGACTAGGACATACAAAGGATCAATTTTTTCCTTTAAGGGTAAATTCACTGTCATATTTTTACGAATTGAACCCGAGTACAAGAGTAAACAATTTGAACGCATATACACATATATTTCACTCTTGCTTACTCTTTTATTCATGTTCAATTTATATAGATATAATTGCGAATGTGCGTGTGTGTAATGAAAGCTTTCCACCTGTAACAGTTTGTCTTTTTGCAACAGGTTGCAGTAGGAGCTCAAGTGAGAAAGATTGCCTGTGGAGTGGATCATACAGTGACACTTTGTAAACCTTTCATTTAAAAGAACAACACTACATATTTATTATCAATTTATTTGTAAGTAAACTTCCTAATACTTCGTTATTTTAACAAGTTCAATGTCATTATACAAATGCAGTGACTTGAAAATATTTTGCATGCCTATCACAAAAGGGCAGTATTAAGATATTTACAATTCTAATTCTAATTTGACAAATATTGAAACACATTTATCTTGTTTGTTAAAAAAATTGGCTTATGTAATATTCTTGATATTGTTTATTACAAAAATATGTATATCATACTTGGGATTAAAACCAACATATTCAGTATGTTTATGCTTGCACTGTTTTCACATACCAGATTTTCGTAGGAGACAGTGTATTCAATCATGTGAGCAAATCTGCACACCTTTGGATCTATAGAAATATAAATCATTTAACATAAAGATGTGCATATCAATGTCAAGAATTGCTACAAACATTAAAATTTTTAATTTAAGTAATTTTCTTTTCTACTCACCAACACAATTATAATTTGTAACTGAAGCATTGGCAATTATTGTTAAATATAACGGATTACAAAGATGTATAAAACCAGCATCGCCACAGGAAACATCAACGGCATATTCATCGTTATTTATTGATCGGCATGTATCGGCAGGTAAATTACTTGTCGCATTAATATTTATGACTTGTCGTGATGTACATACTTTCAGATTACCCCAACCGGATCCTTTGATCTAAAAAGTATTTATGTAGAATGCACATTGAAAGAGAAAATGTTTAATTTTTATTTCTCACAGTGCGTAAGAAAAATTTTACCTTTATCTTAGAAAAATGGCTGCTGTCACTGGAAAAGAAATAATTGGGATGCATCCTGTAAGTAACAATCGTAGCCGGTTCAATGTAATCGGTAAACGCATTTGAAGGTCCAGTGGAAGTGTAATCGGCTCCACATTGCGTATTGATTAACCGCTGTGGAACTGCAAATCAAAACACGAAGAATTATATTGAATTGTGAAACATTGATCCATTTCATCTGTCCATTTTATCTACCTTGTTTTATCCTTGAAATTAAATTAGCAATCGTTATTGAACTTCCTATATCACCAGCGGTTGTAGAGAACAAATCACGTGAAGGATCTAGAACGAGATCGGTCCATCTGTCTTTTGATCCATAAGTCAATATAAGTAATGTAGCATCTGCAATAATATCGATAATCAAACCTTATTCACATTGACATGATCCGAAATTAAATTTACAACATTGCGGAAAGTTGTGAAATATCAATGGACTAAAAAATCGCTATAATGATTGAGTTTCTCATTGTTTCTAGGAAATGATTTACCCGGTACTTTCTCTCGCATCTGCTTGATCTGTTCTATACAATAATCCTTATCGGAATTTGAAAGAGCTGATGTATATGGCATAATTAAGACTACATCAGATTTTGCTTGTCCACGACCTTCACGCTCGACGTTCAACTTCTCTGTTTGCAGAATGCGTAATTTTTCCAATGATTTAGGAAGATCAAACTTGGCAAGACCGCCACTAGTAGCTGAAAAAAAAATCATTTTAAATTTGAATTACTCTTAACAGAATACATAATTGTCTGACGTTATATTAATAAGTAATGTGCAAACGTACCGTCGGTATAATGCGTTTTATTATAATAACCAAAGTCTAAAATACTATCAGTAGTATTAAGCACAATACTGCCATCACGGCCATTAATAATTTTAAATTGACTGTTGTATTGATTTATCTTTATATTATCCAATATGTCTCTGTCAAGAAAAAAGTAAAATATACATATATTTTGCGCAACAATAATACAGATATGTGTATGCTGTGAATTATATACTTACGCAATGATTGGTTGTATTTCGCTAAAGGGCCATGTTGTATCGAGAATAATTGTTAGACTAACAGCGACTTGAATAACATCGTTGAAATATCCCGTTTCTGTCTCTTGACACGTTAAATCCTTCATTGAATCTACAAATTATACGCTTTACAGTGTACTTTTTTTTTATCTAAATATTTTATTTCGCAAAGTACTAAATAGCAAAATAATAAAAGAACGAACGCTCGCAAATGTGTAAACGAATATCAAAAGGCACACGCGAACCATATAAGGTGTTGAAATCAATTAAAAAATATAACTCATTGTCTTTGAAGTAAACTTTTCGCAATAAATTTAAAAAATTAAAATAGACACTAACACGCATCTTATATCCTCTATTACTTCGTATCTGTGATTTTACATCAGAGCCTTATGAATTTTATTTGTATAATTTATTAACGAAAGGAGAGTTTGCTTATTGTTACCAATAATGAGCTAGTTATTTAATTAGTTTATTACACAACGACCCTATTCTTTTGGGTCCTTTTCGAGTGATACTGCAAATCAACAACAACAACGCAGTTATGAAATAATGTAGGTTAATAAGTAATTAAATAACTAGCCAGTTGGGTTGACTACAAGTTTCCCGTCTCAATAATTTATTAATTATACTAAATATACCAATACATTACCAACGTAACGAGATAGCTGTTCTGTCGCTTCCGTCGCAAATTCCTGCATTCTTTTGTCGTTTATTGTAGCTCTATGCAAATATTCTTCCAAGATTAATGAGGCACTGTACGCCTATAAATCATTTAAACATCTATTAATGCTCGATTATTAGTTTATATTAATAAAATACAAATTCTTTAATCTTTATATAGAATACGAGAAGCACATTTTTAGGTTTTACGGGAGTCGCTTATTTTTCGTAGCATAACACTTTAACATGGAAATATGAAAATTACAAATAAAAGTCATGAAAAAATCTGCTCATCCTCTAAGAATCAATCTATGTCAATCATTTATATATTATATAAAATTTGATTTGTAATTGTTAAAAGCTTTTAAGTTTTATGTGTATCTGTACGACGATTTCATTCGATTGTACAATATTACCTGTTCAGTCATGATCGTTTTCGGTATAATCGTTTGGAAGAGTTTTTTCCGATTGCACGCTCTAATCGAAGGATTAAACAATCCACGGGGGCTATAATACTGATCCAAAATCTGCGACAGTCTCAAAGAGGGCACCTTAGAATATAAAGCCTCAATTTCGCTAGCGAGAATTAGTCCATCGATGTCACCCCTGATCTCCGCCGTGGTAAATTCTAATTTCTCATTGGATTTCAGAAAGTACCAACGGGGCAAAGACGATGAATTCCACATGCCGTTTACACCTACGCCAATCTCATTTGTAGGGCCTTGCATTAAGGTAACTTCAGCTAAATCACCTGCGGGCATGTAAATTTATTGTATAATCTCACTGCTGCAATGGATGCAGTATTATACTCAACGATCGAAAGTTGATGAAATAATTTTCGAATGAATCTGCTTGCGATTGACAATTTAACATTCATTTCCTCTGATGCGATTTCTCTCAATATATTGTAAAACGATACGGAAAATGTCAGCGCGAGGAGAAAAATTAACGCTTTGTTACCAGCTACGGTTGCCATCCATTTATTATCCAAGAATAATTTTGATAAATTTCCTTTTCTCTCCTCGTTCTCTTCATCGGGAAATACATCGGAGAGCTTTACAGTTTGAGACTGCAGTCCAGCAGCTATACCAGCAATTAGTGGGCCGGCGGAAACAGGACCCCAGCTATAACGTTACAATTCATTAGGACGCTGTTAATGGGTCGGAAGTTGTACAGTGTAAAACCGTGTGCGCGTATGTACGGAAATTACATGTACAATCTACATACTTGGTTTTTATAACACCATTCTCCACAGGACATTTGCTTATCGACGACTCGTGGCGGAGTCGGGCGATTTTCGGATGATTCGGCGGTAATTCCGGATACAAGGCGTTTGGATGAAATACGTTTTCGTTAATTCCGTTTTTGTTATTTGTAATAACATCGCTATGTTTGCAACCACAATTTTCAGAAATAAGTACAAATCTATTTATTGTATGTTTCGAAAATATATCAAGGAAGGTTGTAATTTATTATGCCGAAACTGGTATTACGGTAATTGCAACACTTCTATTTAAAGATATTTTAGCGAAGGAGATTATTGTAATTGCTCAAACGTACAATTTGAAACAACCATATCTTTCATTTTGAAGGGGAGAAGAAATTTTACAGCTTACAATGCAGCTGCTTTGGTACACGAGTTGTATATTTACCATCTTTGTAAAAACTGTTATTATTAATACAGTAATTTTCTAGATATGAAGTAAAAAGGTCAACTAGCTGAAATAAACTAATGATGTAATTTTTACAGTGCGTTCTTCAACTTTTCCTAATGTCTGATTGATGCGATTGAAAAATAGACATGTAATTAATTATCAATTTTCATAACAATGATATACCACAATATTGTTATATTCCAACTTGACAAGAATTTTGAAAAAGATAGTTTTTATTTTTTTTATGCAAGCTATAATATTCTCTTCGCAATACGCATCATGTTACATTGTGTTACTTACATCTGTTCAGGAGTTAAGGTTTCGACATCATCGTCTACATCCAAATTTGTGTTGGAATAAATGCTAGACATTACACTTCTCGTGTTTCTGTAGGCGTTGTCAGCATATTTGCATACTATGTTTTCATCCCCTCTTTCATAGATTTCAATACTGCTAGACAGCATAAAATGAAGGGTGCACTGCAAAAATATTCGCTTGATAAAAGGACGTAGTACGTCCATGATATCTGCATTGAAAGACTCATTTTGTTGAATGAAACAAAATTTCGTTGACTCAACTGAATTTCTTGTTTCGATACGAGCAAACGAATGTTTCAGTTGATACAACAACAAACTTTAGTTGGAAAATTTAGTTATATCAACATAGAAATTTGGTTGAATAAACGTGCGCAAAATCCTTTTCTAATATTCAACCAAACAATTTAGTTTACGCAACAAACACAATTATTTAGCATGTGATGAGTTGGGCAAATTTCTTATCTCAACCATAAAATTTTGTTCAAATAAACAACTCGTGGAAACGAAATATTTAGTTGTTGTTTAACTTCTTTCCAGCAGGATATTTTTTGTTTTATACAACCAAATTACACGTTCAGTCAACAAAATGAGTCTCTCACAGTGTGGTAAACTAGTTTTCCTGTAAAAATATACATATAACATGTCCATATATTTTTAGTATAATCTCTGACCACGTATGTATGTAAGAATGATTTTATATATTATTTTTTACAAAATTTTCACAAATTTTATTGAAAAAAAGAAACAATGAGAAAATTAGAAAGCTACTCTTTATTTCTATACATTAAAAGGGCTGCGTGGTCAAACTTACCCTTTCGATATCGGTGAGTATATTGTAAGGAAGGTGGCCTCTCTCCTCTGGTATGAAGCGAGCTATTACCACATATTTCTGAGCTTGGCCAGCTGCTCTATATGGCAATACACCAGATTGCTCAATAACGTGAGGATTTTTTACTATTCCATCTTGACGAAATCTACGGTTTTTAATAAAATGCCAATACATTTCACCAACTTAGTTGTAGAAACTTTCATACGTAAATATACGCTTTCATGAGAATTATTTCTTTTACCTGTGCATAATTCCAATAGTTAAGGCTCCTAACTCCATATTTAATTGTGTTTCTGTTTTCTCGATCTTTTGGAGAATCGTGATTAATGTATTCAAAGTATGAGGCAATCTATTATCTTTTTCTAGAAGATATTTACTTTCATAACATTCTTTCAGAGATGATGACACACTTCGATATATAGTTTCTTGCGCAAAAACGCCTGAAATTGTACGTAAAGATTAAGTGTTATATTACTCTTACATGTATTTTAAGTATACCTACTTATATATCATAATTTATATTTTTTGTAAATTATCAAGCAAATTTTTTGCTTTTAATTTGCATTAATTTTCAACTATTTTTAACAAATACAATTTTTGCCCGTGTTAGGAAAAATTCATGATATCTCATTTTATATTATCAATTGATGAAGATTTCTAAAAAGGATTTGGAAATTGTGGAAATTGTAGAAAGACAGATTTTCTCAATATTTTGGAAAACTGTTTCACTTGTATTGTCGTAAAAAATCTGAGAAATTTTCATTGAATTTCGAACAAAGTTTCACCAGGCATATGGTAACATATTTAATTACATATTGTAAATTGGAATAATAAATTGCTTACCAAGGGTAAATAGAATAATCCAGGAATATACTCTAATCATCTTGCAACTGTAAAAAGCGGAAAGTCTAGAGTTGTTTCATTCCCTCCAAATGGAATATTTTTATTTAAATTAATATCAGAGAAAGCAATGTAAGTGCCTTTAATAATTCGCGAAACTTACCTGATTCTGTTAGGCTAGCTGCTTTTATAAGACACGTTATCCCTTTGGTTTCACCTAACGAGGTACTACACCACACCTTTTTAGAGACATAGTAACACCTACCATCGAGAGATAAGATACGATACGTTATGAGTAATCTACCCCCACTTGATCGTAGGCACGTCCCTTATTAGAGAACAGATCGAAAACTGATGGTTCATAAATATATATATTATGAGATTAATATTACAATTGCACAAAATTAGTTGTCACAAAATCCCACGTAAAATTACTTTACAAACATTCAAGCGCACGCATGTTAATTGCCATCAGACAATGGAATCGGATTAAAATTTTGTGTTTAAACAAGAGATAAGAACACGTTAATAGAATTTTAACGCAATTCAACGGAAAAAGATTTTAGTCGGACTAACGCTTTTCTCACGGAAATGCATTTCATCAACTCGTAATATAATATATATGAAAACACGTAAACGTAGATTGCGCAGTCACGGCTATCTTATCAGCACTAAAGTAGAACGTAATCTTACTATATCTTGGCACAATGGATGTATGTATGCGTGAGTCATTGAAAAGTGTACGAATCAGGTGAAGCATGAACGTTATACTGAGCGTCGTGAACAGCGATATCTTGTCACTGAGAGGATGAATTTTTTCGTTATTTTACTTATATTCCACGGTAAGAAATTAATGGGGCTGTGATGTGTATTATTTATAACGCATAGAACACACAAAAAAATAAATATATATATATTCCTCCCAGGAATAAGTTGGACGGTATCTCAACTCCGCATCCCGGACGAACTTAAGGAATGTTACGTGAATAATAACATGCACCATTTTCATCTTCCCATGAACATGCGCGTGCTCTTGGACATTATTCGCAAAGCAGAGACGTATTCCTACACTACGATGGATATCAGAACAATGTCATCTTCCTTAATACACAGGTATGAAATTTCCGACGCAAATCGAAATTCGCAATGTCCCAATTAGTTAAATATTTCCTAAAATATTCATGCAAGTGTTTACGTACATGAATATTTCATAACAGGACGTTTATAATAAAATGTTGATATATGTAATATTACAACAATATTCTCAAGTATATTCTGAAATACAGCCATAGACAAAATTATTAGGCAGTCTCCTGATCATTATACTGCAAATCTAAGTTATGCTACTTTTATCCATATATGTATACGTGTAATTTGGTGAAGCACTTTTTATACACTTCTTTCCGTTTAAATTGTTTAAATACATAATTGTCTAATCACCAAAAGATATATTCTTGAAAGTTTCGTAATGTTTATTAATTAATTTAACTTGGTATATTCTCAGGATATTCCATATGTTATACATATTTCTGAAAGTTGCGCAATCTTTATTCATTTAAAACAAAATATAAATTAGGCTCATGAGATAAAAATCAATATAAATAAAAAGAGGCGAATAGAGCCGGATGTTCGTGCTTTGTTTATATATATTCAAAATTTTTTATGTATATCAGATGTAAACGTTTCAACCTGACATCAGGCCTTCTTCGCCATTTGATGATATCATTACTTTTGTAGAGAAGATACTTTTGAGGAGGGAGAAGGAGAGAGATAATTCTACATATTTATAAATGCTTATGCATGAAAATTTTTGTATCGAGATCCTGAGAAAAATTTTTACCAACGATAAATTTATTAAATTAAAAATTTTGCATTGTACCTACATGCGCTAAATTCGTATTGATAAATTATTACATTACTACATTTGAACTGTATGAAGGGGGAATACATGTATAGAGGAGGAAAATAAAATGTAATTTGTATATGTGTATTATTAATTTGAAATTTAATGAAGTAAATTTATATTATAAATTCAACTTTGTTGTGCGACCTTGTTCCTTTGTGTATTGTATTATGCAGACACACATGACACACACATATATTCCTTTTTTCATACGTGTTAGATTTAAGCTTGATGGCATCAAACATTATAAAGATGTACAAGAAAGGGATGGAATACTTCCTTTTGGGCAGTCTGGAAGACAAAATATCAAATATAAATTGATAAAGGAATTAGTTCCAGGAAAATCGGAATTCTTTCCGTTCGACGCGCTCACGGCGATAGAACGGTGCACTTTACATCAAGCTATCTCAAATACAATAATGAAAGAAGATTCACGTGGCATGAATACATTATGTGAAGACATCGGACAGAAATTAACAGGTAACGCGTTTTTATTTATTTGCAAATACTTTATAAAGGATTATATACTCTTTAAAGGCTTTGGATATTGTGATATAGGTAGAATTTTATATGCCAATCTGTGGAATTGTCCGAGGGAATACGGAGTGATTCTTACGTCGTATGGAACTATTGCTCCAGGTGCTATTATAGGAGCCATCGCTGCTTCTCTTGAGCATCAGAATGTTGGATTAGATGAAATCATTAACGCAATAAAGAAATCTGGATTAGATGAAAGCATTAACAATTTCGGTATTGCATTTGTAATTATTATTAAAAATTAAATTATTTATTATTTATTATTATTAGAGATTTGAAAGATTATCTCCTTAAGCAAGCTATACATAGTATAATAACAGATTTGTTTTGATATTGCAACATATACATATGTGTCCCTATTAAACTCGTATTTTGCTATAACAAACTTTTTACTTATTGTGTACATACATTTTAAATATATTCTTTTTTTCATTTTAGAAAAACCTACCACTATAGCTAGCGTGACTTACATTGAAGACGTTGACTTTATTGTACCAAGAAATGAAATAATTCATGATAGATCAATGCCACATCTTTACTCGCTTGAGCCACTAAAATTAGACAACGTATGGCTAACAACGATTGCAGGTGAATAATTTTACCTAAATGGCAAATGTCACTTGTCATCTTAGATCTTTGACCGTAACTGAAATTAAAAATTTTAATAATATATAGTTTTTAAAACAACCTACACTGGCCAATGTTTTTATTTAAAAAAACGACGTGTGACGGGGGTGATAAAATTTGAACAATTTTTTCATTAAAATATAAGGATATTCTTCGTTGTTAGTAAGCTGTGTACATACAAGCAAGAGAGTAATTACACTATACGTTATTACGTATTAATAAATATCAAGAATAAATGAAGATAAATATTAAATAAATAAATAAACTTACATATTAGTAAAAAAATGATTGCACCCTTTGGTTGGAGAGTGCAAAGTCAATTAAAGTTGCATTGTTAAAAATTTTTTTAATAAAATCTTTCAGGTGATCTAGCAGAGATGACAGTATACCAAGGACCTATATTATACTCCGATATGGAACTTGGAGCCACCGGATTTTGGAATAACACTATACGTCCTGGTGTTTATTATTTAAAAAATCAAAATGGTTACTTTGATGCCACTCGTGCTGAGATAGTCGGTGATATCGATGGTAATCATCCTTGCAAACAAATACATCAATTCCCTTAATTTTTATAGAAAAAAATACGGTCTTATATTGTACATTTGTAAGCGCAATTTAAGGTCCTTTTCCCTTGGATTCATAGGTCTCATCATAGCGAATAAAGTACACACCTGGGTAAACGACTTTTACAGTCTTCGTTTGAGTCAAATTCTTGATATGTATTACTCCGATGAAGGTATAACTTTATTTAATGAAAACATGAAAGTCTGTGACCGGAAGAAGGCTTTCTCGTATGTTGTATCAAGAACGCTTTTGCATGAGCAGGTTTTTTTTTTCATACATTTCAATGTAATATAGATGCTAAAATGCAACATACGCCAAACAAATAAAACTCTATTATTTTTAATCGTTTGTAACAGACGTGCGCCGCATCTCATCTTTTGGCCTACCTTAACGATATCGTATTCAAATCTCCAGGGGCTCTTAAACGACTGGTCGATCATGCAATTGCTAAATTCTTAGTTTATGCAAACGATCACCTTTTAACAGAATTACTCTGTCGAAACGAAAAACGTTATCCACAAGTAGAAGCGTTGATCTCATTCGACGGTAGTTGGACTGAGGAATATACAATGGATTTTGTTGCGTAAGTCGTGACTTGTTTAAGGACCACAAACAAATTTTTTTGTGAATTAATTGGAACCAGAATAGGTATTTCTTATAGATTTTGCATCTCTGAATTCAGATTTGTAGCCTGTTTTATTCCGTCACGTTCAACTTTTTAAATAATTAATCAAAATAGTGAAATTCACAGATTCTTCACTATCTAAAACAATCAGACGTCACAGGGTAAAACAAGCTATTGGAACCAGTTAATTTTTCAAAAATTTTTTGCTGGTCTTGTGTAATGATTATTAATCAATTTAATTGATAACTTTTTTACCTCCATTTTATCAGAGCCTTAATAGATGACTTAGATGTATCAATGTACGGCTCAAAAATGGGAATTTTACACGGTGCATCGGGACAATGGTTGCTCAATGTAACAAGCAGTCCTAGTCTTGCTTATTACGCTATATCTAACTTGAGGAATATTTCATGCAAGTTCTCTCTCTATATTGCTTTACATTTCTTGTCCATTGTCTGGTAAGACTGATATTATACATATTTAAATAGGGCCCACGCATTTAGATTTCATTACAACGTTGAATGCAATATCCAATTATTTAAATGAAACCTGGGAGACAAAATGGCAACATCATACAATAGGAAGCCTCGGTCAAGTGATCGTGATATTAGCTCCATTGGCTCAGTTCTCTGAATCAGACCAGCAGACAATTTTAAAACTATTAAAAGAGATGAAGCATCTTCATCCCGGTAATTCGCATTTCTATATCTCCTTTCACTAGAGATAAAATCAGGTTTGATATGTATTTAAAAACCAAGTCAAATCCAATAATCAAGTTTCATTTTCCATTTTCTAGAATTACAGTAATATTTATAAAAAAAATATTCCATACTAGTTTTAAATGTTAGAATGAATACTTTTATGAGTAGTACACGAACTCTAAAAATGAAGGGGGTCCCAGGTTCGAATCTTGTAAAGTAGTATTTTTCGTAATAAGATTTCTTTACACTATATAGAGAGGGAGACTGTATTTAATGACAGGTATAGCATTTGAAAATTAGAAATCGTTTATCGATTTAGAATATACATGACTGTGTTATATGTCTGAAAGTAACGCGCGCAGGACAGGTTGAAAAAATAGTATATGAATTCACATATATATTAGGTTTAAATTATCGGGCTACCTCTTGCTCGGACCTAAAACTTGATTGGTGTTCTCGTATCCCATTCGTTTTCTATCTTATTGGTCCTGATTTAACTTTATTTGTCTAAGAATGAAGATTAAAGAATATAACGTGTAAAGATTTTAAGTAACTGGTATTCTGCATTTTGTAGGACACAATGTGTCCTTGTATTTTGAAAAAGAGAGCTGAGAGAGAATAAAACGAGAACAAATAATATTTATATAATATTTGAAAAATGTGTGAGAATAAGATAATCAAATATATATTCTAGTTAACATTGTTACAATATTACAGAGCTATATTTTTTATATTACGTATCGGAATACAATTCACATCTTTTTCAACCGTTTCTATTATCAGAGCAAGATCATTTAATACTTGGCCCCGATATTGATGCCATTGCACAATATCTGTCACCGTGTAAGTATTGTAATGATTACAAAACAAGTATTAATCATTTATGTGCTTATAATTTATAACGTTTTTTAATTAAATACTCATACATATTATATTTTAGTACCGCGAACTCTGAAGCCAGTAACTATGTCGAAACTTGATACAGAACCAGAATTCAAGGATGAAATAGAAAATTATATAAGTCCTTCTAAATCAGTTACATATATGTTACATTCACAATATACAGCTGATATGAAGATAACAATTACAGTCAGTATTTTTTAAGAATTATATAATTTTTGTTGTTTCGTACAAAAAAGAAATAAGAATGCGAAATGAAGAAATGAAGTGCGAAATTTTCGGCATTGCGGGTCAAAAATTTGAGACCATTCCAATGAAACATTGCTTAAAAATGGTAATAGTTTTCAATGAATGGTTTCAAACTCGTGGCCGACAATATGTACAAAACATTTATCCAAGTACTTGCTTTCTATAATTTCATGTTATTTATCAGAATTATATGCTTTGATGAACGAGATTCGTGATTCATTGACATTTCTATCAGGTCCATAATTTTGGCTACGGAACGATAAAAGCTTGTTTTTGGAATCAATTCGATGGGGAAGAAGCTATGGCATGTCGACAGTTTGATGCGCATAAGGGAATTAGCTTACTCAACAACTACCAATGCATTGATACACGTTGTCCTCACATATATCTTCGTATACAAAACGCCACTTCCTTTAACAAATGCGCAGGTAAAGTCTCTCTACTCGGATAACAAAATCTAGATTACAAATTTTTTTCGCTTTACGCAAGTTTCTATTTTTATTTTTTATGTCTCATTTTGTTTTGTGTTTCAGAAATGGAATGTAGATCACCGGATCAAGTGAGATATATCATAAGGATGCAAAATACATACAACTCTGCGGAAAAAAAGATATCTCTAAATGTATTTGTAACTTTTTACTTATATTTACAATTAGTTATATTTAATATATAACGATCTTGCTTAATCAAATTAAAGCGTCTTAAGATATCAAAATTTATTTTAATCCTAGAATAGGCGCGCGCGGTCTCACAGACCGACCGCGACGCAACACAAAAAGTTGTATATGCATCCAGCGCGTTGAAATTTTCCATCGCTTCTCCTGTTTGTTTTTCATGCCAAGAACGGCAGCTAGAGGTTAAGGATTCGATACTTTTTAATATTAATTTACAGCGCAGATACAAAATGCTGATGCAAACAGTCGACATGAATTTAACAAGAGATTCTAATGCGCCATTAATAGCAGAGAAATAATGTAATGGTAATAATAGTGAAATTGCTTTGCAACTCTCGATATTCATACAACAATCTTCCTTTTCTTTATTACATACAAAAATATAATTGTGATCGTACTCATGAATATTTTATACATCAATAGCTTCGATAAGCATATTCATATATTAACTTTATGAGAAATTGGAAATTACTGGAAGCAGCGAGTTCCCCGAGCTCAGGTTCCTTGAGAAGCATATCGATATGTGGCAAAAATTCATCTGCTTTCCCACCTAAAACGACAAAAGTGTCATATCAATTTATAAATCTCGTTGAATACTTGGATTGTTCGAAAAAGATTGTTGTAATTGTTTTTCGTCATTTTTTGGAATACAATCCCGTTTGCCGAATTATTTCATCACGTAACAACTGGGAGAAATTTTTACAATGAAAATTAAGTATACCAATCAGTTATTATAATTCGAAATGATGACATCTGCCGGTCAGACTGGATCTTATCGATTGTTAGTCTGGTCTGTGCACCGATTATTTGTTGGCTTTAAAGACCGATAACACGCTAAATTTACAAGCAGACCCCGAAAACTTGAATGTAATATACGACTGTGTAATCAAAACTGTATAGTTTGCAATATCACCTTGTATTGTTCTTAAGACATGACTAACAAATTAGTTGGACTACCACAGTGCTCACACGTGTATACATATATTTAACTCGACTTGGGTTTTTACTTATTAACCTACACTATTTCATAACTTGTTGTTGATTTGCAGTATCACTCGAAAAGGACCTAAAATAATAGAGTCGAAACGTTGTGTAATAAACTAATAAAATAACTAGCCAGTTGGGTCGACTATAAGTTTCCCGTCTCAAGTTTTAATCATTATTGGTGACAATAAGCAAACTCTCCTTTCGTTAATATACTTAATTTTGATTGCAATAAAATTTCTCCAACACATATCATAGTTGTAATATGCGTTAAGATAACTCTTTAAATTCAATTAAATTTAAAATGACAAAATGACATGATTCAGAGCAATATATAATAAATTACAGAATCGTATTCAACGCCTAAAAAGACTGAGGGGAAACAATTACCTTCGGCGGTATGCATTTTGTTTTGTTTTGTTATTAGCGTGTCGTGAATTGTGAGCTTACCCATAAAGTAGGCGAGATCCATCAACTTGAAAAATAGGGTTTCCTGAACTTGTTGCTCGGGATTCTTCTCCATGTTGTCCCACTGATCTCGCCGAGCAGCGCGCGCCCAAATTTGCAGTCTCAGAGCCAACTTGTCCTCTTCGTGCTCCACATAATCGAGCAAATCGAGAGCCTTCTTGAAATCGTATTCATTGGCGATGACGTTGTCGCTCGAGGTGTACAAGACGATTAATTCCCTCGGCGTGAGCACTCGTAGCTTCTTGATATCATAGCCGTACGTCGTGAGCACTTGTGCCGGTAGATCCTCTTGGTAAGCTATTAGCGTCAACTCGTTGTCGATCGTCTTGACGCAGTCCAGCACTTTATCCCCCGGCTCGACCGGATCGGATTCGTCCGACGCGAGTAGCGCCAGCTTGGCTAACGAGAGCATAGACTTTTTACGGGTGACCAGCTCAGACTCCTGAACCGCCAGAGTGTGAAGCGTATTGGCGGCGAATCGCAGCTCGCCGGTCAGTGCCGCTTGCACCCAGGACAGGGTGGGATGCTCCGACAGCTTCTCCGCCAGCTCCGCGGTACCGGCACGCCTGCATCTCTCGACCAGCTGCCCCTGGCGTCCGTCCCTCACGTACCAAGAGAACAAGAAGCCGGCAAAGTCCTGGGCCGCAAACTTGTCGACGTAACCGTCCAGCCGGCTCTTGTTGTCGGTCAACTCGCAGATCTGCATGAGCGAGGGAAAGTCGCAATATTTCTCAGCAAGCATGGCGGCATTATCGTATTGCTCCTCCTTGATCAGTGGCTGTATCAGATTGGCACGTTCCGTCTCGTATTGCTTGAGGAGAACCTCGAACCTCTCCGTGCCGCAAATGCTCTCCAAGTGGCACTTCCTCCCGTCCAATATCAGATCGATCAGGCTGACTAGTTGCTCGTACAGCTCGTTCCTCACAGCGGAGTCGCCGGTCGTGGTCACGCCGTGCTTAACGGTGACGCTCTGCATCGTGTTGAGGCAGTTTCTTAAACCGTCTTTACCCGGCGCGGCCGTCCAAGGTAGGTACTCGGTTATCTCGGAGAACTTGGCGGGGGCGAAGCGCTCGGCGTTGTACTGGCGGTACTTGACCACCTCGTACAACACGGCCAATAAAATAGCGTTGACCTGTACAATGTACCGTCCGATCTGTTGCAAGGGCCTCTCGGACTGCGCGACCTCGTGCGCCTTCTCCACTAGGATCGGCAGGAAGAGGTGCACCGCGCTCACCTCGCGATAAAACACGTCGCGCGCCGTAAGCTCCTCCGACACGTACGCTTCCTTCTGACTCAACGTCTGCTCTATCACCCCGTCCACGATCTCCGCGTATCTGGCTTGTAGACTGTACAGTGTCAACGCCGCGACCATCTTCTCCGCGTACTCGCCGAGCACGTGGGACGTGGACGTGATAGTTGCGCGGCACGTGACCGCGCAGAACCTGTTCCACAAGCTGTGCTCCTTTAGGAACACCACGAAGAGGTCCAACGCCTTCTGTTTACCCTCCAGCTGATGCGGTATTTGCATGGCGGTGACCGCGTTCACAGTCATCGACAGATCCCTCTGGTGAGCCCATCTCGGATCGTTGGCCGGGAAATCGTCAATCAGGTCCTTCGCGACCTTTAAAACGAGCGTGTCGAGAGTGGCGTCGATATCCATCACCGGGTCCTCCTGCAGAGGAAACAGCTGCGAGAGAATCTCGTCGCACTGCGCCTTATTCTGCCGCAGGCTCAGGAGAAAGGCGGCGCGTAATTGCGTGGCCGCGTCGGAGCTGCAGTACATATCCTGCAGTTGATCGTTGCTTATAAGAGTGGAAAAGTTTTGGGCCGTCTGATTGACCTTGTAGGTGTAGTCCATGCTCACGGTGGCATCCGTGTATCCGGCATTGAAATCCTGCATCGCGAAATCCACCGGCGTGATGGACACAAGACCGATGCTTTTCGTGAACAATACCGGAGTCGACGAGCATATCGCACCGCCGAGTATACCGTCCTCGCCGCCTCTCACCAGCTCGATCTTATCCTGCTCGACTTGGGACGCGGTGTTAACCACGAGAACGTCGTGCCGGTTGTATATCACTGCCTCCCAGCCACACAGTATAAAGTGATACGAGACCAACCACGATTCTATATCGTTGTGATAAAATATCGGGTCGAATTTGACCGGTATGAACCATTTGAACGAATCTGACAATGCCGTGCCGGCCAAGGGTAATAATCCAAGCGCAAAATGAATTTCTATGGATATGTCGGAGCAATAGGCCGCCATTAAAAGGACTATCCCTTCCTCGCATGTCTGCATATCGACGAACCACGTATTCATGCTTTGTGGACTCGATTCCCAAATTTTCCTCTGGAACGCTTGCTGAACGATATGAGTAATGTCCTCGTCAAATTCCATCTTCTCATGTTCGTCGCGGGTAAAGAGCCAGTACTGTAAGGAGGATCCAGCGAGAATGAGAACTCTCGAGCTCCTCTGGTCCAGTTGCGTGCACGTGACCTTGACCAGTTTGGTCTCTGTGACGGGCGATTGCGGTATCGCTCCGAAAATTAGGCTAGTCATTCGGCGACCTATGCCGCCGAGCCAGCCCTGACTCGTCCGGAGCACCTGGCATGCAATATTGTTCTTGCCATTGTTGAACTGCGGTTGCAAGAGCGCCACCGTACACGTGGTTGTGGCTAGAATGCATCCATGGCCTGGTACGTGAATAAGGCAGTCTACTTCCTGCCCTGCGAGTTCAGCGCTGGTCTCCACGGAAGATCCTTCGTGCGCCACGCTCGCCCAATAACGCACCACTCCTTCTGGCGAGACTGCCATGCAGCTAGGAACCTGTGGAGAATGCACTAAGATGACTTTGCACTTTGCACACAGGTGGCGAATCTTTTACCTGGTGACCAGGCGGTACCCAAACCGCTATGCAATCAGCTTTATGGGCCAGATCGCTTTGAGGTAACAATAATTCGCGACACTGCGTCTTAAACGTCCTCCTTTGCTTGGAATCGCGAATATTCGTTTTACATTGCCATACAAGCAATTTGCGGCCGTAGACAAGCCAGGCCCAACCTTGGACAGATACGTTAACGCTGACGGCTGTATTCCGATCTAGAAATGTCAACGCCTCGGTGACTAGAACCGGCAATGGAGAGCCAAAGCTTTCCACCGTGTGGCTCTGCGTCCTGCATATTACTTGGACGGATTGATTCGTCCGTCCAGAGACGCTCGTTGTGCTAAAGTCGAAATAAGATCTAAATCGCTGGTTTAATGTAAAAATTCCAAGTGCTTACGAAGGGAGGTACTTACGAACTGTTCTTCTTGAGCGATTGAATTATTGACATTCGCTTCCTAGGGGAGGCCAACGTTCTTCCTGATGGACTTGCTATGTTCGTACGATCCATTTTCTTAGTAAATGTCTCGAGGAAATATCAACCTTTTCTCAAATACAGTGGAATTGTCTTTATAAAGCCTTAATAAAAGATGAAAATCTATGACAAACGGTATTCGATTTCGCGGTTTTCAAGTTAGGTTAGGAGCGCTTACTGATTGTTACTGATGGAACTAGATTCTAGGGGCTTCTCAACTACTCCTGCCTTTATTTGCGTCCATCAGTAGGCGCCTTAAAGTGTGGCAATCTAGTTTTAAGTCACATACCTACTATTCACCAGATATCTTGTCTCTTATTGACACGACTGTGATCTCTTCTCTCGTAGGATTTATCCAAATTTTGCAAGTGCTCGCAAGTGCTGCACAGGACACGCGAAGAGTCGAAGACGAGGGGTGAAATTGACAAACGCCACAGCTAGTGAACCTATGACATTTGGAAAATTTACTCGAGCGGAAAATACACTGCTGTCTGTCATGTAGTACGATGACGTATAGTCAAGCTCATACAGAGTACTTATTTTTTTTCAACTCTTATCATGGGATCTAGATTAAGGCAAGTCTCTTTTTTCCTCCCATGCACACAATCGTACGTGCTAATATTCCTTTCGAGCGAGACACGAAGGCATAGTTTCACCTTTGCGCCATAGATGTGCTTTTGCAGTACGGACAGTTTCCGATTCGTTCAATAAAGAATACATTTTATATTTTCCTTTATACGCGTTTGCACAATTTTTTTTCCCAATATGCAAAATCCAATCGTCAAGTTTGATTTTCGAGAATTGGAGTAATATGCCAGAAGAAATATTTCATACATTGCACTTGAGAATCAATTGCAACTAATTTTGAATTTTATTGTAGAATAAACACTTGCTCAAATTCAAATATACGATTAAGGACCTTTATGAGTAGTAATTTCAGCAATCTACTATTTTTTATACAAACGTTTCAATAGAAACAACTACTCGCTGAAAGCCTCTAAAGTTTGTGTCTACTTAAAAATACTGTCGAAATCGTTACTGGTGACAATAAGCAAACTCTCCTTTCGTTAAAAATACTGCTCTTATCTTTCTAAATAATGGCATCTTTTATTCAGACTGTATAAACGTCGGTACTTTCTCTGATATTTTCAGGGAAAATGTCAAACAGCTGTTTGAATGCTTCTGTGAAGTAGCCGCACCAATAGGGGAGAAGCCAGCTTGGATACTGCAAAAGTATCCCAATTCCTTTTTGGACCAAGAGATACTTAAATCCGTTCCTAAATTTGCATATCCTTGTGAATTTGAAAAGTATATCGACGTCAATTACCATGTAACTGTACACCTCTATCCACCTGTAATACATATTTCTGTTTTAGTTTGTTGGTGCAGCACTTTTCGTTTGTGCTTACCAGCATAGATTCGAAATGGACCTTTGGATTCTGCCGTCACGATCCCAAAACAGAAACGGCTTTAGTGGTCCTGAGCGCGCTTCCATGGCACGAAACATTTTACAAGTTAGTAAATACGTATCAAACGGTCATTAAAACTCATTGAAATATTAAACCGCATTTTCATCGTAGACTGTTGAATCACATTGCGTCCTTGACCAGCAATGCCAGCGGAGAAGATCTCTGCAAGTTTCTTGAAAATGTACATACGTGTGGAGTTCCAGTGCCTGGAAACTCAATATCTATCCCTTTACCAAATTCCACAGTGGTAAGCCCGCGAAATAAATGAAAGGATTTACCTGTTGTTTGATATTAAATTACTTTCAACGCATATTTTATTCCTTTCAGAATTTTATTTGTCAAAGTCCAAAACAGTTTCAACTACCAAGTATTCCCGAGAATGTGAGTAATATTGTCAACAGCTGTTTTGAAAACAATATTAAGACTATTTAGTAGAAGAGAGAAAATTGTTGTCAGACATCTCTAAATAGTGGTTTTACTGTTTCAGCGCAACTTGACTGAATATTATAGCGCCGTAGATTCGCACAATATGATGATGATATTCGCGTCTATGTTGTACGAACGCCGTATCATTTTTATTTCGAAACGTCTATCGAGATTGAGTGCATGCGTACAGGCATGCAATGCTTTAATTTATCCAATGATTTGGCAACATATATACATCCCCGTTCTGCCGTTGTCATTAATAGATTATTTATTAGCACCTATGCCATTCCTGATTGGAGTGCCTACCCTAACGCTTCAGGTAGCTACAACAAAAGTGTCTCTCCCTTTCAGAGTGGATTTCAAATAATACCTAATAAATAATTAATATAATGCTTGCAGAAAATACCCAAAAGTGATTTAGGAGAAGTTGTTATTTTAGATGCCGATAATAATACAATCGAGTCGCCATTTCAAGATCTGGAGTCCTTACCTCAAGACGTAGTGCGTAAAGCGATATACAGCTATGACACAATAAGATAACGTATCTTTAAGGATTAATATTTGTCTTAAGTAATGAAATAAAAAGTTTCTGTGTTGCAGGTGACGAATTTGAAGAAAGCATTACGCAACAGACCAGCTCTTCTCGGAGATGGCGTGTCAAGAGCATTTTTGCGCGCATTGGTGCAATTAACCGCGGGTTATAGAGAAGCGTTAACTTTACAGCAGGGCGAGCGTATTACGTTCAATCAAAATGCCTTTGTTGAAAGCAGGCCATCCTCTATGCAGCCCTTTTTACGAAAGATGTTGGAGTTGCAAATTTTTCAACAAGTAAGTACGTTATAGATGTAGCATACTTGTAACCATCTGACGCAATGTAATAAATATTCGGTGTATTTCCAGTTTATAGAGGAAAGATTGAACATGCTTAATTCAGGACTCGGTTTCTCGGACGAGTTCGAAATGGAAGCCTGCAGTTATTCAGCTAAATCGAGTAGTAAATTTATGCAGCAATACAGGGAATGGACTTACACTATGCGAAAAGAGAGCTCTGCATTTTTCCGTAGTGTAAAAGATAAGGCATGTTACGTTAACATTTCAATTAGATTCCAATATCTAGTATTTGCCTTTATTAGAAAAGAGAATAAAATATTCTGCTACCTTTGATTACAGGCTAATCCAGCAGTTAAATATGCTGTTAAGTCAGTAAGTTAAAGCGCATTACTTTATTATACATTGTATCCGAGTATATTATTTATTTGATTGATTATAACCCCCTATTGTGAGATAGTAGGCTTTCAACATTCAAATTCAATCGAAAAATTTTCTTTGCAACGATCCAACAATTAATTTCCCACTAAACATTTCATTCCAAGGGCAATAAATTCACGATAGAACCAACAGATGATATTAATTTAGTAGAAATTCTGCTCATATTACGAGCTTGTCTCATAATAGGGGACTTGACTCTAGTAATGAAAGATGTTACAAAGAATGATATTCACAGATGAAGGATAAAGGCAAAGACATGAAAACGGCATATAAAGGATTAAAGTGGAAAGGTGTGTTCTCGTAATGTTGGTAATCTTTAACCTGTGACAAGTTCCCAGCAAACATAGAACATTGCCGCAACGGCAAATCTTTCGCGAAAATTTTCATGATATAAACTTGATCTCCTAGAACAATTTGGAACAACTTTTACAATTTTGAAATTTCAAAAATGCGGTGCTAACTTTACACAGGCTAATCTTTATTACTATTATATTAGTAAGTATAATAACAAATATTTGGAGGACAGGACGGTCTAATAGAAGTGAAACCAGTATGAGATTTCACCAGCCACGATCGGCTCCCAGCTCGCCTACATTAGATAGAAGACCTATTGAATTTACATCTCCACCAAAGTCTCCAAATGGTGTAGCAGCGACAACTAGTTACCGAAAGGACCTGCGTTTGCGGAATAGTAATTTCACTGATACGAGGTATAAATCATTGTTTATATAATGATTGGCTCTTGGTATAAAAATACAATATCAGTATAAGAACAAATTGTATCACTAATATAATTTGTTCCTATACTACTTAAATATTTTTTCATATTACTTTTAAAAAATTATAAAATGTGATCCCCCAAGTGATTTGCATAGCATATGTATATACATGTCACAAAATAGAACATAAAATCTCATAAAATATTCACTTTACATTATAATACTTTTACATACAAAATGGTAAAGAGAATTGATTTGTAGAGGAAAATCCCCTATTATGAATTCATTGCTTTTAGAGTGAGATCTGTTTAATGGAAAATTTATTGTTAGATTGTGTAATCATCGCGAAAAAAGATGGTGATTGAATTTGGATATTGAAAACCTGCTATCTCACAGATCTAACAATAAGGGGCTTTCCTCTATTAATGTGACATAATTTTTGGGATAATTAGTAGTTTCGGAAATACAGGTAATTGTATAAAAATTTTAAATTAATTTGAGTGGATATTAATAATTTTGTGTTTTATTTTATATATGTATATGAACAAGATATTTCATATAATCTTATTTTTTGTGAAAACTATGATATTAAGTGCAGCAAAGAGATTTTTCTTGTTTATTTTTTGTTGCAACCTTTAAAACTGATAAGAAGAAAGACACCATTTTGCCTTCTCCAGAGGGTTCAAGGATAATGTTTCTAAACCATTTCTAAAACCATACAGATAGCTTCCAATATTTTATACGAGACACTACGTGTACTGTAAGAGCACTTGCGAGATAAGTTTAAGAAATAGGATATATGTAATGGAAAATTATTGGAATTTTATTGTTATTTATATATTGCAGTAGAAAACAATACTCACCTTTAAGTCCTAGTTCTCCAGAAGAATCAGATTCTCCATTAGAGCGTATAAATATAGATCTTATGCACGAACTTCGAGATGTGATATTTCCAAATACACCGCCTGTGGATAGGACGGTAAGTCTTGTACAGTTTACACAATACTTGTACTATCTTGCAATTTACACAAAGAGGACAGTGTTATAGTTGTTAAAATCGATCAAGGTACATTCACATAAATAAACACGTCTTTACTCTTTTACAATTGCGCACATTTTCACGCTTTCAATTCTTGTCTGTAGCAAAAGAAATTTAATATATTGCAGGTAAATGTGATGAAATGTCAATCTTTTTATTAATAAATTATCCGTTTGCTTTAATTAACCGTATAAATCTCTGTTGCTTTATGTGAATCATTAATTTGCTTCTTTAACAAGTGACAAACCTCATCATTTTCATGTCCAACATTACGTTATGTGAGAAAATAGTTACGGCATGTCCTCACAAATTACGTTCCGAAATATTAGATGTATGTATGCATAAATGTGTTGAATTCGTAAGGAAATATTCTGCATGCTCGAATCATCCTTGTCCACCCAAATTTTTCATCGGCATTACCTCGTAATGTCCCCGATGTTTTAGCTACTATAATTCAAGTCATTTAAATATATGGTATATCTACTTGACTTGACAAAGCAGTTACTTGAATAAATTACGTTGTTATCTGTTAACACGTTAACTGATAAAATGTAACTCGTGCGTATGCACGCGAGTCACATAGTCACATATTCACATATCGAGGATCGGTAGCGATAAGATTGAGATATTTTATAGCTTGTATATTAGTTCTTGCAAAGAGGAAAAGTAAAAATTTGTCATGCATCACTTTCAGTTGAAACCAGTACGCAGTTTAGACAGCTTGAGACCTGCATGGAGTGGGCACTTACGGCACGGCCCTCCACCTAGTACTGTCATTACAGATTCACGCAAAGTTTCCTCGACCAAGCAAATTTTATTTTCCTCATCCTCTCATCCCCTTCCCCCAAACAATTCCATTAATCAGTCAAAACCGTTTACTTGTAATTCAGCAACTACAAAGTCAAACAGTACCGTGGAGATTGAAACATTATTTTCACTCGTCTCGTCTGCGTCACACGATAAAAGTGCTCGGCCAAGTCGATTTTTACACGAATTACATGTACGTGATGATTTCACGAAACCCGTCGTTAACTTATCATCGTGTATTCGTGAAAAGGAGAATGCAGAGTCTGAAGAGAGATTTTCTTTAAACGATAAAAAATCCAATCCGAAGGATATTTTTATATGTGCCGATCCAATTCCAAATACGTGGAATGGCGAGCCTTTCGATAGACCTTTCAAAACGTCGAATTTTCTTCACGAAGTAAACGAAGACGATCCTTTTGACACGAGTAAAGTATTTACGCCTACTTATTTGCAACAAGCTGTGTCACTTTTTCAATCCGCAATGCCCGCTCAATCGACGCCCACTCAATTTCATCCATTATTACATCCATCCGATACTACATCCTGCTCTGCACAGGCTAAGGTAAACATCATCGTTCACTATCTTTTATATCTATGAAACATTCCGATTTTCGTTCGTGATTGTTGGGCCCGTAAAGTAGGTAAAGATACAACACTCGAGTTAAGATTTACCGAGCTATCGTTCAATCACAAATACCGACTGAAAAAAAATTAACTTAACTAATTAATATCTTTTAATATCTGGTTCTTATCACCAATCAAACAACCTTAATTTCAAATCTTTAATTCGGTAGTGAAATCTTCAGTAAAGGATTGAAAAAGCAAAAACTCGGTAAATCTGTCTTTCTAAAATTAGCCTCCTATTTATAGTATGTCTATTGTCATGTTTTTGTCCATATCTTCAACTTTTAGCTGTGGCACATTTTGTAGCAATTCACGTTCGTTAAACGTACCAAATGGACAAGCAATAATGTCCAATAATTTTAGTAATGCGTATACAAAATAAAACCCGTTTTAATGTGTATTTACTTGAACTTTTTAGAAACAACTGTTTTGGAAAGAAAAATAAAAAATTTTACAGTTTCATAATGACATACAGAACATGCAAATCTTTTATAGTGTGAACTTTTTTACGAGATGCCAACGTCTATTCTTTTTTTAATAGAATTATAAATTTTTTCATTTTGATTCGATTCTTCAAATTATTCTACATTCCGTAAAACGATTCAAGTCACCAGAGAGAAATCAATGGTTTATAAAATGTTACGTTATTGTATGCTAATACACTTTATAAAACATAAAAATACTTGCTTTTCGATGACTTTAATATTTTTATGCACAGAATAATAAAATAAATAACATGCTGACACATTTCTTCTACACAGACGCACACTATAAAAAATTGTTATCATAGTTTCTTCCTGAAATAATTGAAATTTTTATTTCAAATATTTTTCCAAAATGAAAAACAATTGACATACTCGCGATAATAACTCATTTTGTATACAAAAGCTACACACATGTACTTACACTAGTCAATCATTACCATTGAAAAATAACATTTTGATACTGCAAATTGAAATTTTATTCTCTCACGTGATGAAATGCTCAATTCAGTTCGATTGATGAACTGAAAAGTAAATAATCGATATGTATTATTTTTTCTTACAGAATTCTCCCGACGTCCCAGATTTAATACGGCTAGATTCGACTAATAGCAACGACGATTTTGATCCGCTTCTATCTAAATCTTCGGAATTTCCGAACGCAAAACAGATGAGTCAATCGTTACATTTACCTGAAATGGGTGAAGGTCTTAGTAATCCCTTATACCCTTACTTTCAACAACCGTCGCACAAAAACGAGAAGCCGAAAACCTCCGATAACGTCGGTGATATGGATTTATTACAGGCGTATGGTATAGACTTTAATAAATTTAGTTTAGCCAATGGTGATAATTCATCTGTAATGAATACCGTCGCATGTAATCCAAGTGACAACAGTATTAATGATACGATGGATACATTCAGTTTAACGCTGAATGCACCTGCCATTAAATCACAAAATAATTGGACAAAGTTTGAGTAAATATTATTTTGTATACATATACATATACATGTATGTGTGTGTGTGTGTGTCTAATAATAGGTGTAACATCCGCCATGGGTAGATGGAGAGAAGAGTCTTTTACTTTTGTTTGTTACCTATATTTTGGGAGAGTATTAGGAGTGGTCTACAAATGATGCGTGACGCCAATTTCCGCACGCGTAGCAATTGTAAACGCTGTGCTGTCTTCTAGCCGACTTGTGCGAATGCACGCTGATTCACAGAGTTCTAGCAATTATAAATTTCTTATTATTCATTACAAAAATCGCAAAACGGTAAAAGGATTTCTATTCAGTGTAACACTCTTCATCTACCCATGGTAGGTATTGCACCTATTATCAGATACTCTGTATATCTAAAATATATAGCATGTATACGCACACGCACACATATCCTACATACATATAAATACTGTAGAAACCCTATACTGCAAAAACGTCGAAATCGAGTTACCTTTCTCAATTGTAATCCTCTCTCTCTCTAATTCACTCGTTTCCTCACTCTGTCCACAATTACGTGATTATGTAACAAATGTTGAATGGAAGAACTGATGATTCAAAATAAGGAGAATTTACAACACACACACGCGTGCGCGTGAATATTGTAATTGTAAATATACTTAATTGTAATTGTAAATTAGTACCTTTTTGTTATGTATTTAAATATCTTCCATTAAACATTCGCATTAGCCTCCCTTATAAAATCATCCCATCATGTCAGCCAATAGTTATCTTGCTATACACATAATTATCGCGCCGTCAATGATGTATACTTTTATACTTGCACTGTATACTTTTTGTATTAAAAACCAATGGCATGTACGTTTCGGTCAGTGTGATATTTTTATTTCTATTATGGCTATTATATAATCGATGTCTTTTCCGTTATATCGTTATTCGTTCACGGATTGTGCAGCGCAAGAATATTATCTTTTTTTAATACCAGCAGCACAATGACTCGTGATAATAAATTTGGACAAACCAAAAATTTAAGGATTTTAATACTTTAACGTTGATTGATATACATAATTAATATCTTAAAAATCCGCTGAAAAAGTACTATATTTTAGGCCTATTAATTTTGATTGAAGTTCAATAACTTCCAAATACTTTGAAGTAACGAAGAAATCTTCGGAGATACGATAAAGGATCGAAGCCTCGAAGCTTCGAAAAAGTAACATTCCTAGCGCTAACTTTACGAACGACTATCATCGCGGAGTTGGCAAATAATATTTCGTATATAAGGTTATCGTTGCAATTTATTTAAAAAAAATCAAAATTAGCAAGTAGAGCTTACGATTCAACACATTTTTGAAAATGAACCTTCGAAATCTTTTAAAACTCCGTATACGTAATACCTTCCACGATTTCTTCGTTACTTTGAAGTCTTTCGAAGCTTGGAAAAAGTAACAAGTATATTTGCAAAAAAAACGTATATTATAAATCATACAATACTGTTGCATTTTCTTACAGAATTCTAACGTATCATTAACATATAATTTCTACATGACATACATTACATACTTCTCTATCTACATTTTACCAAATTTTCATGAAATACTCAATTATATGAGTACAGTTTTATAAACATTTGTAGATGCTAGGTATAGCAGAACATTTAACTGTAATGAAAGCGACTGCATGTATGCTATAGTGAAGGAAACTAATTGTAAGTGTGAAACGAACGTACCGTACAATTTCATGATTTAGATTATTGTTAGATATATCAATTTTAATAAATGTTGCACATTTATTGGCAATGCTTTATAATAAATTAATGCGAAAAAATAAGATACACCATTTCTAGCATAATTATCATATTTTTTATTATCCCGTTATCGCATCCTACATATACAGGGTGTCCCATTTGAATTTGGACAGTAAAATTAAAATGTCGCAAAAATGAAGCCCAGCAAGCAAAATTGTTTCAGACAAAAATTGTTTAATGTCGAGGGGGACATAAGATGGTGTCATTAATTTGACCTTGAATAGTTGCTTGAGGGTGACGTGAAAGTCATCTTCAATTTTTTAAATAGAACCCCTATTGTTTATCATACTATCTTATTATACTAATTAATATGACCAACTTCGTATTTAATATACGAAACCAATGTACAACTTATACTTGCATCAACAATCATAATCGGCAATGACAAGTGCTGTGATAGTAGTTGTTATTCATGAAACTTGGGAGAGATGGGAAGTTTATATTGTCAAGATTAAACGAAATTACTGAACTGATCGGAAATTCTTCAGGGTCGCCAGCAAAAATTAAAAACATCAAAATTGGTTGACCATATCTGGCAATTTTAATGGTAAATTATCATGACGTTTCGACCATGGGTTTTGGTCCTTTTCAAGTGATCATATCTGTTACAATTCGAATTTTACAAATTAGTCACGTTTTCGTATTTGTGATAGGTTTACGGTTATATAAATTGTGTGTTACCTGTGGTAATCGTGTGTATAAAATCACATGTGTTACGTTGGTGTTGAGAGGATAATCATTATAATCTAAAATTAAGAGTGTTAAGAGAGAGAAAAATTGCAGATTTCTTTTTAAATGAATTTCTAAACTTACATGTTCAGCGAGTGTTAACTTAGCTTGCGCACTGACAAAATATGACTGAATCGATATGTAGAGGGTATCGGTAAAACCGTAAACTTATCACAAATACGAAAACGTGACTAATTTGTAAAATTCGAATTGTAACAGATATGATCACTTGAAAAGGGCCATGGTTGAAACGTCGTGATAATTTACCATTAAAATTGCCAGATATGGTCAACCAATTTTGAAATTACTGAATTTATTGAAAAAAAAAAGGGAATGGACGTAGTTTCTTATGTATAGTTCTACTTACTATTGCATTTAAGATATAAAATTAATTTGTAATACAAAAGTTATTAAAAACACAAGGACTTTCCGTCATTAAAGTCCAAAAACTTAAAAGTTTGATTGTAAAAACGGTTGGAATATATTTTACGTGCTATCCTAAATATTTCCAAATAATATAAAGACTAAAAACTCAAAATGTTGAAATAAAAATTTTGTTCTAATTTTATATTTAGTAACTCTAAATTTAAACTTTTGTACAAACGAAACATCAAAGTTTAAAATGGGAAATGGTACTGCATGAAAAATATGAAAATCTAGAAAGGTACAAGAAAATTTTGTTAGTTAATAAAGGAATCATTGTTGCTGGACATAGCAAATAACTATTGTCTCTGCCATATAGGAAGTAGATTTCCTAGAATCCAAAAAACTTTTTAACGTAAGCTTGCGTTAGACATCGTCTAATATACTAATATACTATCTTTAACACACACATTAAAAGATAACAGAACAGACCTGTTTGTCTGAACACATTTTATATTTTCGTGTGCGCATTCATATTTAATTCGAGTGGAATTTTATACAAGAGGAAAGCAGATTTTTCAAGTAAATGTTAATCAACTCAATAAATAAGTTACTTACTGTTAAATAATTCAATAAATAAGTAACTTATATGATTGTAATGCCAGTGTTTACGGAATTTTTCTTTATAGATTTATCGTCTACATTGTTTGTAAGACCATTACTGCATCAATTATTCGCTGCAATTCGCCCTCGTTACTCGTCAACTTTTCCTCGTTACACTTTTGAACGTCAAGAGGCACCTTTACCTCGTAATCGGGTGTAGCTAAATCCTGTTTCAATTTTTGTATCATCTCGATCAATTGTTTTTCCTTTTTTTGTAGCTTTTCCAACTCTTTCCTCGGGTCAATCAAACCCTACAAAATACACATTTACATAATATACGGGGTGTTTTATTTTAAATAATCCACGCAAATATCTCCACAAATATGAAAGATGCGGGAAAAATATTTCAAACAAAAGTTATTTGGTTCGAAAGAGTCCTCTATTATGAGATAGCAGGTTTTCAACACCCAAATTCAATCACAAATCTTTTTTCGCAACGATTACAAGATCTAACAATTAATTTTCCACCAAACAGATTAACAAAAACTCCGTTATATTAGTATCCTATGTCATAATAGGGGACTCTCCTCTAATAATAATAAGAGCATACAATATGGCGTAATGTGTTAATTACCTTTAGCAATAGATGAATTTGAACCTTGTCGGTTACAGTAAGAATAGCACAGCCTATTGGCGGTTTTTCCGTGCTAAGAGTAGAATATGCAAGAGTTTCTATGAGTAATTTATATTGGACAATCTTTTCCTTTAAAGCTGGATTGCTACAGGCGATATATGCTTCGGTTTTCGTTTTATTCGGTAAATTGTAAGTTGCACGGGCAGATCGAACACTTTTAATAATTTTTTGCGCAAAGTCCACATCCTTCTCGATCTCTTGATTTCTCCAATGATACTGAAATATACCAGACGTGTCTCGACCGTAGTACATTAATCGCACGTCATGATCGTGATTGTAAATATATAATAGTTACCCACCTTGGCACCATTTGGATATGGACTTACACATATACTTGGATATACTAGCTTCTTACGGGGTAAACGTTGATAAAGCTCTTCCGTTATAAACGGCATAAACGGGCTCAACAAACGCAATCCCACGTCCAGCGTTATAAATAATACTTTTTGAGCCGTTAATTTACTCTCGTTATTTTCACTTTGAAATATCGGCTTGAGGTATTCCTGGACACACAAATTGTGTAAAAATATTTTCTCTCCACCTCTCATAATGTAGCACAATATAAGAAACATTAATTGTTACCGACCAGATAAGTATCACACAAGTCATACAGCCACAAATTGTAACAGGTAGAAGTAGCTAATGCAAAGTCATACTGTCTTATCGCTTCATCGCAAGTCGCGGCAGCGTAACTAATACGTGACAACATCCATAAATCGACATTTGTCTCATTCCCAGTCAGCTATAACAGGAGAAGCGAGATCAACATTGCTAATTTCTTCTTAAACAAAGATGCTACTTATACGTTAGCTCTACCTCAAATGTATCGTCATTATTGCATTGAGGCTCGTTAATGTATGCAAGTTTTGGTATCATTTCATTTTGTTCTGCACGAAACACAGCCTTTTCTTCGTCCGTGAAAGTGGCGACATGATCGTACCAACGTTTAATGTGCAGATGCCTCGTAAGATCAATGTTTAGTTGTTTGAATGATTGATGAACTGACGAGTCGAGTTGCGATGGTGTATAACCATCGAGATAGGGGTAATCTGCCAAGTAATTATTTAGAGCTTCCTGCACGCACAATTCATTCAAAGCCGACTGGTACCACTCACCACCTCCAACCATGTTGCTATTGTATTTCTGGCGTAAAAAAATTACAATTACATTCCGAACGCAGGTGACCTTGGTAGAATTAAAAATTTACCGTATCATTAAAATTGTTGCATTTGAATTGAGATCCGAGATAGGTAAGCGCGAATTTTGTAGCATTCCATATCTTGTTGCAAAAGAATCTGTATCCCTGTACGCGAAGTATATCGAGATTTATATCTCGTCCTTGAGTGGTATAGGCACACAGGGCGAATCGCAGAGCATCCGTTCCACATTCAGGAATGCCCTCCGGATAATCGCGCTTCTGGCCTTCCCGAGCTCGTTCGAGCTCTTTTGGATCCAAGTTTGATTCTAACAATTGTTTGTGAAGATCCTGCGGAAAAATATTTTTCGTTTGAAAACATTACAGAGAACATGTAAGAAATAGCAAGTGATACTTTCTACACACCTCTAAAGATATTCCTCTAATCACATCCATAGGGTCTATGACATTTCCCAAGGATTTACTCATTTTTCTTCCATGTGCATCCCTCACCATCGCATGTAGATACACTTCCCTACAAAAAGAGATACATCTCAATTTCTTTATACAAAGATATATTGAGCAAACTTGTGACATACTTGAAGGGCAACTGTCCCAACAATTTTTGGCCCATAAACACCATCCTGGCAACCCAAAAGAAGAGTATATCATGTCCAGTCTCCAATAGCGTACCTGGATAAAACGCCTCAAGTTCAGGAGTCTGAAAAAAAACCCAATCCGACATAGAAGTCATATTAAATCTTATAAATTGATTATGGCAAACGTACTTGGTCTGGCCAGCCAAAAACAGAGAATGGAAAAAGAGCAGAAGAAAACCAGGTGTCCAGTACATCAGGATCTTGCTCCGCAATAATGTCGTTTACATTAATGCCCAGTTTCTTAGCCGCTTTTTCTTTAGCTTCAGCCTCAGAATGTGCACTCACCCAATATTCGTCTATCTATGTGAAATCATCTTTGACTCAGTATGCGTAAAATTATAATATCCAAAACTAAAAAACAATTTTTGAAAATTATTTCATGAAAATTACCTCCTTCGTGCTCATAGAAGAACTAGTAAACTTAATTGCATAGGCAGGAATACGATGACCCCACCAGAGTTGACGCGAAATACACCAATCCCTTATACCGTTCATCCAACTGTACCAAGTTTTTTTAAATAGTTGCGGAATTATTTTTAGTGCGCCTGTGCTCACTGCTTCCTTAGCTTGAGCAGCCATTTCATCACACTTGACATACCTGAGTGCGAGAAAAAGTCGAATGAATTTCTTACAAGAGTTCAACAAACACATTAATTTACCATTGTGGCTTCACCAGAGGCTCGACGACATCTTTCGATCGACTACATATAGGTATTACCATTGGATTATCTTTTATACCGATCAATAAATTTCTCTTTGCCATTTCTTTAATAATAGCCACTCTAGCTTCAAATCTTTTCATTCCCTGTAATAAAGAGTTGTTCAATTCGTTAAATTTACTTTGATGTCAACACGACTCGAAAAAGTCTATACGTAAAGAGAAATATATGATATACCATAAATTGTCCATAGTCTCCAATAACATTTCCATCGTCGTCAAAAATATTGACGAACGGCAGATTGTGTCTTTTTCCGACCTCATAATCATTCGGATCATGGGCTGGCGTAATCTTTACAGCACCTGAGGAATAGTTGACCTATTTTCACCAAATTGTTACTTTCAATGCGTTTGCTAAGATTTATCAAGCTACTTATATATACCAGTGCCAAATTCCATGTCGACAAACTCATCTGCTATAATAGGTATACGCCTGTCGCAAAATGGATGCTGCACATATTTTCCAATATATCGTGCGTATCTACTGTCCTTTGGATGCACTGCAATAGCGGTATCTCCCAGCATAGTTTCGATACGAGTGGTCGCTACAATTATTTTGTCAACCGAATCAAGGAGCAGATAAGCGAAAGATACCAAAACACCAAATTCGACTTTCTTCTCGTAGCCAGGTATAGAAAGCAGAGTCCGGCCATTTAATTCCACCTTGTCAACCTTTTCCCAAACAAATATAAGATTTAATAAAGATGTTTGAATTGGTAAATTGAGCAGAGAAATGTCTAGTCACGTAGTACTCACTTCAATATCCGAAATTGCACTTTTTAAAGCGCATGACCAATTAACTAAACGATTGCTGCGATAAATAATACCTTGATCATGCAAGCGCACAAATGCCTCCGTCACGGCTTTACATAATTTCGGGTCCATTGTATAACAAGCACGGCTCCAATCGAAGGAACCGCCTAATTTCCTCAATTGCGAATAAATACCATCGCCTTTCCTGAAATAGATTTCAAATGGACAGCTTCGATGAAATATTATTAGAGTCCCCTATTGTTATTTCACAATATCCTACTACTTGCGTTTGATTCTTATTGCCTGATTTAATCGTTTTTAACTTGAGAGTCTATATCACCATTTATTTAATATCTTGTTTACAATTCTACTTGACGTACTCATATTTCCACTGCCATATTCTCTTGATAAATTCCTCTCTACCGATATCGTGACGAGATTTCTTTTCTTCTTTCCACAGCTTCTTTTCCACAACTACCTGAGTGGCGATACCCGCATGATCACAACCTGGATTCCAGAGTGTGGTATGACCTTTCATACGGTTCCTAAATCAATTACAATTAAACAAGAGTTGGGAATTGTAGCTTTTTAAGTGTCCAATCTTATCCTAAATATACCATCTGGTGATAGCATCTTCTACAGCATTAGTCAAAGCGTGTCCGAGATGTAAGAAACCAGTTACGTTGGGCGGTGGTATTACCATTATAAACTTTCCCTTTGGATTTTCCTCCAATATGTCTTTTCTCTAAGATAAAATTTCAATCAATTCAAAGTAATTGTCTTTTTCTTCATCTTCCGTTTACTCACTCCGTATTCTGGTTTAAAGAAGCCCTGCTTTTCCCACCAAGCGTACCACGCAGCTTCCACGTATTGCGGACTATATGTACCTGGCATTGGACCTGCGACATTTTTCTTTTCTCCAGGTGGTGTATCGATGGTGTACAAGATTGCTGCAGTCTCCTTCTTCTTATCATTTTTCTACAATGCATTGTATTAATGATAATAAATTACCAACACGTTGCTCACCGACATGGAATTTCTTTTCTCATCAGCACTAAATAATATTTCACCCTGGCCGAGGTAATATTTTTTGCAATAAATTTTCTATATTATGAAAATTGCCAGATACGGTCAATAAAAGTTATAAGTACCGAGAAAATATAATATCCAAACTATGTGTTTTAATTATTCCAATAATCCAAATTTCAAACAGCCGAATCTACGAATGTGTGGAATGTAATTTTGATCCAAACTACATGAAACTTTGATCAAGCTACAACAAACTAGGTATGAAATTACTCGAGTAATACAACTATTATTTTATTTCTAAATAATACAGCAGGAATATGTAAAGAGATTGCTTTACATTTATATACTTAATTGTGAAATAACGAGAATAATAGAGCATGAAGGTCTGACCCGAAATCTCTAGGAGATAGAGTTTACGCACCAACCGTGCTCATTATTCGTACTAAATTAGCTTCGAAATTGTGTTTAGCACAGTAGAGCTTTATGGATTTTATTAATTGGTTTAAAAAGAATTCCTTAGATATCAAAGTTGAAACGAGTCGAATAAGCTACCTACATATAATACACTGTTCTCCATATGGGTAATAAAGACACCGATATTGTGTGCACTATCTCTATCGGAGGTGGAATATTTCATGTTGCTACTTACCTCTGCTTTCTCTTTCACGTTTATCTGCTTCTCGGTCCCCTTCTTTTCCTGTTTATGTTTAAATTTCTCCAGCTTGGCCAGCTTCTTGGCATCCTTTTGCAGCTGCTTGGCCGTTTTCGGCGGGCCATTTTCCACGAGCGCGGTCTCCTTAGTGTTGACCATTTTCTCCAATGTTTCTTTCGATAAAAATTCGCACATCTACTTGCTGCCTGATATTCAAACAAACCGGCTTATGAAACTAATCTAACGATTACACGATTAACCATAACCACGCTGACTGCAGCTGATTTGGGCCGTGTTCACGTCGTTCACGTCACACGTGTTCGCTTGCAATAGTTAGCCAGCGCTACAGGCGGACAAGCCTGGAACTTGTACTCATGCTACTCATGGTTTCAGTGGTTTCAGTCGTAAGAGGTAATTTATTAAATATAAGAGATTTACAGAGTTTATTATACAATATTTAATTTACTATAAACATTTTCGACACTTTCATCGTTAGTTCCCCTAAAACATAGTCATCATATTTTCTGCAACACAATGCAGCTGGATTATTATCCTAAATACACATATGTACACGTGACCACTTTAGAGGCAGTTTTGCTAGGCGATAACAAATTTGAAATTTTTTAATCTCTCTCTCTCTCTCGACGAACGAAGCAACAAATTCGTTGGCTTTCTTATCCATACACACATAAAAACCACAATGTTTTTCCATTTTCGGAAGCTTTGAAAATAAAAATTTTTAATTCGAGTCAACATGGAAGCATTCTCGGCGAGAAAATAATTGAGAAATATCCATGTATTGCCTCTTAAACTTTACTTAAACTGCACGCAGATTTCCATCTGAAGTAACATTTCTGAAACAGACCAATACGTTTTTAAAAGAATTAAATACAAGTTTCGAAAGATGATATTAAATGAATAGTATAATTTAACTCACTATAAAAGCATCGTCGTTGGATTTTCCATTAAATTTTTAAAGGTGGCTAACCATTGTGCACCTACAGCACCGTCTACGGTACGGTGATCACAGCTGGCAGTTACAGACATGTATTGGGCAGTTGTGAAACTGCAAAAATTTCTCTATAATACTCGTACGCCATAAAATTAATGAAAAAATGTTAGACGTTTACCCTTGTTCATTTTTGGCAGGTATCAGTCTAGCTTCCGTGGCGCCTATAGCAAGAATGATGGACTGTGGAGGATTTATTATAGCTGAGAAATTTTTTATTCCAAACATGCCCAAATTGGACACGGTAATCGTTCCTCCTTGAAACTCGTGCGGTTTTAATTTGCCTTCCCTCGCCTTTGTAGCCAACGCCTTCACATCTTTACTGATTTCAACTATACCTTTTGTGTCGGCACCAAACACTATGGGAGTGATAAGACCGCTATCTGTACTCACGGCTACACTAACGTCCACGTTGTTATATCTGGAGGAAGATGAAATATTACAAGTATAAAAAATATTCAAAGATGCATGTATAACTTTCAAGTACTCACTGTCGAATTACATCTCCCAACCAAGCGCTATTGCCCTCTGGTATTTTCTTACAAGCCATTGCCATTCCTTTGATAATAATATCATTTACGCTCAACTTTATTTTGTCCTTTTCTAATAATTGATTAAATTGCTCTCGCATCGCCAATGCAGCATCCATTCTTACGTCTACCGAGAGGTAATAATGCGGGATCGTCTGCTTGCTCTCCGACAGGCGTTTGGCAATAACCGCACGTATATTCGACACAGGAATATCTACTCCAGTTGGCGCCGTTACCGATGGCCGTACCGCCGCACCCTCTAAATCTTTAGATGTTATAGAGCCATATAATCCTGTTCCTTTTAGACCCTACGAAGAATAGTGCAAAGAATAATGTTAAGTAAATAGTGTAAATAGATATTGGCACAAGTTAATAATGATTAATAATGAAGGAGGAACATTGCAGAAATCAAATTGAAAGAGTGGAGAAATAGAAAGGCAAATTGGCTCGTACTTGCGTCCATTCTTTCAATTTGATTTATAAATCAGCAATCTTGCAGCACCTGTAAACTAAGTCCTTTCTCAGCCGCTAATCTTTTTGCTAATGGACTAGCGTATATTCTTTCTCCGACAGGTGGTACGACGGGAGCAACTCTTGCTGCAGCCGGTGCAGCTGGTACTGTGGTAGGCGTCGGCGGCGGTGCTGCGGCGGGAGGTGCCGGTGCCGAAGGCACTGCGTCATCTTTCAAGTCTTTGAACGCAGCTACGTTAGACTCGTCTTGTACAATTATGCAAACCAGTTTGCCTATAGGTACATTCTTTGTTCCCGCGGGCACTAAAATCTTGGCTAAATAACCTTCCTCGGGAGTCTCGAACCCCATAGTGGCTTTGTCAGTTTCGATCTCTGCTAGCAGATCACCCTCGTTCAACTTGTCACCTGGCGAAAGAGATGCTTCAACAGAGAATCTTGATCAATGAAAATTGATAACATTGACGACCTTACCCTCTTTCTTCTGCCAACTGATTATCGTTCCTGTTTCCATGGTAGGAGACAAGGCTGGAAGCGGGACCTTGATGTGATCCGGATAATCGGCGTAAAACCTGAGATGTTGCTGCCATGGTGTCGAGACCAAGCGCAAAGCACTGTGGAGATGAATATTATTATGTAAGCCTCCTCGACTGTCCTGACGAGAGATTAATACTCGAGTGAAAAAACTCTAGGATACTTTGCGCTAGAGCACGTTGCGACTGACGTAAAATAACCTTAAAGATCGTCCCCGATTGCGAAATTTGATATGTCTGCAAGGAGGTTGGAATGCTCGGATAACTCCGGGTAGTGAAAGCGATACCTCTGCTCATGTTTTCTCTCAAGACACCGGACGACTATAGACCTGGTGCTGGCTCGCACGGTACTACGGATGATCGCGCGTGCCAATCCGTTACGTAGGCTAGACGTGCTTCGTATCATATCTATTGGGATTTGTCGACGGTGTCCGATCCGGAAGCCTTCGGCGAGTCTGAATCTAAAACCGGTCCACCCGCCTGACCAAGCGACGACGATCCCAAACGCTCCGTTCGCCAATAAATTCCACCTATCGCGAAAACGGGACCAGATGACGGACGATGCCCAATTGCCGAGCCGAGAGGTCGTCGGCAAGGTCACGTGGTCTATCGAAGGTGCTGCACTGCTGCCTGTGCAGCCTGCAACAATTATTATTACATTACATTTATTTTTCTTGTTAACTATATACTATTGTATATTTCTTATACAATTCTATTATGTCAAATTTTATAGAATTGTATATAGAAATATTTTTTCTACCTTTTCTTGGACAATAATGTTATACTTTTTCAAAGTTTACTTTAACAGATTTAAAAGTTTTCAGGGAAGATTGATTTATAAATATATAAAATATATCCGTGGGGGAACCTGTTCGTTTGCCAAATCGGCGATTCGCGGATATCAACTTTATCGTTATCGTGCCGCTGATAAGAGGAAAACAGACGCTACAGCTTTATTCGCATTACCGATTGCTCATGTTGTATTTAGAATTCCGATGTGGCACCTGCCGCACACGCACGGCTAACAATTCGCTTGAAGAAATACGCCTTGTGATAATTAACACGTAGTATTATAGTGTACGTTTTTCTATATGTGTTAAATATCTTAACTTATTTAATCATGTTATTTAATGAGATGAACTTTCGCGCATCGTTGCTGTTTATTCTGACGGTGCAGCTAGACCTCACCAAGATATGCCTGAGCGTCGACACGAAAATTTTGAGCTTGTGTACGTCCCAAAGTACTTGTGACAATTGTCTAGAAGCGAGCTTGGCTTGCGCCTGGTGCAGTGATTGGGTAAATGTTTACATGCATCGAAGCTTCCATAACAATAACACGTTGATTACTCGTTTGAGATACAATCAGTGAAATTTTACAAATTTTGCGCCAACGAAATAACTTGACTTTTCCGCCATAGTGGACGCAGGACCTATATTAATTGATGAATTAACACGTGTTAATTAACAAATACCGTAACGATAAAACGACGAGAATCTCAACGTCAAAGATTAAGCATTAAAAGAACCATTTAGAAAAAGTACGTTGAAAAAACATTCTTTTCAGTAAAGAAATTTATTTACTATTTTCACCCTATATGCATTTTTGTGATATATCTGCAGTGACGTTGATATTCTTTTCAATAAGATAAATACATACTTTTTCTTTATTCCGTTTTCTTTGAATTGAAAAATAAGTACATTTATTCATTGCAAATCACATACCTTTATTTAAATGCAATTCTATACTTATTATTAATCATTTAATTATTTTTTTTTTACATTCATTCTTTTATCTCAATATCTGTTTTATTATTTGTGCATCATTGAAAAATGCTTTTAAACACTTGATGAAAGATTTTATATTTTTTTATGTCAAAATAAGTATGTCAGAACAAGGTCCATTTGAGCTGTCTTTTTCTCTGCGCACACTCTTTAGTTGCTCTTTTTCATTAATTTTGTAAAATTATGGTCGATTGAAGCTTCGAAATGCGCAGGATGATTTTTTTCATTGCTACGCCTAACCAGGACGTGACTTGTTTTTCTGCAATAGTCATACACAAATTCCACGTACGGCAAACCGAGGTGCAACGTGCCAGAGCGTTTGCGGGCATTCGGCTGTCCGGATGCGGAAATACGCGCGGCGCCGCCAGCATCGCTCCGAGTACTGACGAACATGGATTTTCAGGATGTCTCCAACGATCGTACGATACAGCCTGTACAGCTGAGACCGCAGAAGCTGCGACTCAGGATGAGGCCGCGTTCGAGCCAAGTGGTGACGCTTCAGTATAGACCGGCTAAGTAAAGATCTCGATCTGGTGAAAATTTTTCTTGCAACTTTTTATATCAATGTTAACAATTTTTATGTCAATTTCAGAATTTTTCACATTTTTTATTGTTTATTATAAATTGGTACACTTGTTACAAATCTTATAAGATTTGAAAAAGTTTCGGATATTTCTCAAGAAATTGTACGAAATACAATATTTCACAATAGTCACATATATGAAAAATGTTAAGAATTTTGAGAAAAATTGTTACCAGGTCTTAATTAATATGGTATAAGTGACGTATAGGTGTAAATAAAGGCAGGAGCGGGTCCATAATAAATTGTTAAACAAAAGCATAAAAATTTCATGTCAGTGTTGAATTTTACCGGCATATTATAAGTTGACAAATAGGGCCGTGGCACACAAAACAACTTGGTGTGTTTCCAGTTTCACAGTCGAAACACGATATCTATACTGTCACGATTGATAACATTGATGGAGAGCCGATTAAATAAGAAATGACGAGTATGTTTTTAAAATAATTTTATTCACTCTTGTGGAATTAAGTATCCAACAGATAAATTAATTGCATTAAGGAGGCTGCAAAAGGCGAATCCGAAATGTTAAGAATTGCATCAAATTTCTTACCAGTTAGTTTTCAAGAATATTTATAACAAAGTTTAAGAGTGTTTAGCATCACTTTTATATCACAGTAAATGTAATTGTACTTTTATACAGCGGAGAACTTGGATCTAATATACTTGAAATATAACAAATTACCTTTTTAAAAAAAGGTACAAAAAGGCCAAGTATATCTTTTCTACAAAAGGAACGATATCAAAAACTTGTATTAAAATGATTATAGAATATAGTTGTGTGTACGGCCCTTATCGGGGCGCGCAGTTCAGAAAAGTCGAAAATACAATCTTTATACTGTTATTGCGACAAATATTATTACATGCCTCGGTGACCGAATTGGTGAGACGCCCGCCTAGAGAGTAGTAGAGAGTAGTAGAGAGTAGTAGAGAGTAGTAGAGAGTAGTAGAGAGTAGAGAGGCCCAGGTTCAAGCCCTGGCTGAAGTAATATTTTTTGCAATAAATTTTCTGTATTATTTAAGATGCCAGGTATGCTGAAGAAAACACCGACATTTTTCTAATCGTATTTTGTTATTGAATTAAATTGTTTTGTTGTTTAATTAGAAATTATCCATTGGATCTTTATTATCTTATGGATCTCACGTGGTCGATGAAGGACGATAAAGAAACTCTGGTGGGATTAGGCTGGAAGATAGCCAATACGCTCGGTACATTTACCACGAATTTTCGTCTCGGATTTGGCAGCTATGCTGATAAGCCTCTAATGCCGTACATATTTCCAAAACACGAGGAAAATCCGTGCAAAAGCGAAAACGCCGTTTGCAAGCCACTATATTCCTTTTGGCATCATTTAGAACTCACCGACAATATACCAAGATTCATTCATCAAGTACGTGCAAATTTTTGCATTTTTCTATTTAATATACTTAAGATTAAGTAACATACAAGTAGTATAGTATAGAAATATAAAACGGACAAAGATAAAAACCCAATCATATTGTTACGCCTCGGCAATGTTACGGGCAACGTCCGCGGTAGGGAGTGGGGCCCTCGATACTAACACTCGCGAGCGCGCCCGCAAGAATAATCGTAGGAAACAATTGTATTTCAAGGAAAACGATCTTTATTAGCGATTTACAGAGGAGCGGCCCAGACTCGCGTCTGTCGTCATTTCGTCAACGATCGAGGGCCAAACTTAGATCCCTTACAAAATATTTATAAACAACACACGCTCGTTTCTCAGCGACGGTATCTAGGTAATCTAGGTAGTCCGCCAGGATAGCGGATGTAACAATATACAGGGTGTTGAAAAAAGGTGGAGACGTGTCCGAATAACTCTGAAAACATTTGTCAAGGTCACCTTGAACTTTTTTAATAGAAACTCCCATTTTTTATCGCACATTCTTGTACCTCGAGAGTACTATAATTAAGTACTTTCATTCAATATTTTTGTCAAGGTTGCACAATCAGATTCAATAACCTGAATATACTTTTGATGACTAGGTAATTTAACACAATTTAAAAATTAGTCTGCCCGGGAATATGTCCAGTAAAGATGTCCATAATTATAATATCTTATACGTATACATTTCTAGATAAAAAAATTTTATGTGAGTTGTAGGTAAATTATAGTTCGGTGACCGGCAATGTTGATAATCTGGAGGGTGGTCTCGACGGGATTGTGCAAGCGATCGTTTGTGATCGACAAGTTGGTTGGGCTCATCAAGCGCGCAAGCTGATGTTAGTGGCGACCGATGGACTCATGCATTTCGCTGGTGAAGGAAAGGTGAGGGATAAGAAAAGAGAGAGAGATGAAAAAGAAAAGTCAAATATGATCTATGTAATAGCTAGGAGGTGTAGTGGAACGTCAAGACTTTCAGTGTCACCTCGACGAACGTGGACAATATTCCTTGGCAAAGAAATACGATTATTCCTCTCTGGCGGAGGTGTCTCGATTATTGCATGAGCGCAAAGTCAATTTGATCTTTGCCGTGACAGAAGATCGTCGTCATGAGTACGAATTAATCGCCAACTTGCTGAAGCAGCAGGCCAGAGTCGCTACTCTGACACGTAATAGTTCCAATATTCTCGAGATCATTAAGAGTGCTTATCATGAGATAGTGAGTAAAGTGGTGTTGCGCGACAATGCGACCGATCCGTTGCACATTAGATATCTGTCCGCGTGTGGAAGTGAGAAGAGCGTGGAATCAAATACGTTCGAGTGCGATGGTATACAGGAGGGTCAAGTGTACGAGTTCAAAGTCATCGTGTCGACAGGCGAATGTCCGAGAAACGAAAGTCTCTGGGTGAGTTGTATTTATATAATACCAATTACTTTTTAGATCTAGTTCTGCTTCTATTAAAAAAGAATACAAATTTTTTTAACGCCAAATCTTGTGCAAATTTCATTACTATTTCGTAATTTCGTAAAAGAAAAAATATATATCTTAAAGAGGCAAACGGTGGTGATTGACGACGCGTTAGCATCCGAGGCATCCGAGGTGCAAATCGAAGTTGAACTTTTATGCGGCTGCGATTGCAAGAACGTAGAAAACTCGTATTGTGAGCACGGAGTAAACGAGTGTGGTATATGCAAATGCAACTTTGGCTGGTCTGGTAAGAACACGTAACGTCGTCTCCCTTTTCGTGCATTTTATATCCAGATATAAATACATATATAATAGCTTTGTCACACGTTAATCGCGTGAAACTCTTTCTTTGCAGGAGATACCTGCGATTGTGACCAACATTTCTCGATAGAGAACAGGCTGCAGTGCACCAACGGCGAGGAGATCTGCTCAAACAAAGGTGAATGTATTTGTGGTACTTGCAGCTGCGATAAGGGATACAACGGGCGTTTCTGCGAATGTTCCCCTTGCGACAAAGTACGACACACGTAAAGCATTATTAGATGACAAAAATTAATACAATAGCAAAAACTATTGACATAACTGATCGATTACAAAAGTCAAATTGTCGTTAAACTTGATAGACTGATGGAGTCGAATGTGGCGGTCGTGGTATATGCGATTGTGGTGTTTGCAACTGCTTGGACGGGTGGAAAGGTAGTGGCTGTCAATGCCCGTCCGGTAACGAACTTTGCATTGCTCCTGGCAGCAAACAAGTATGTGCTGGCCACGGATATTGTGATTGCGGACAATGCCGGTTCGTATAATATCGATCCCTTTCACATACATGGAGTATTTCAAAACTGTGATGCATGTTTTAAACAAAATTTACTTGGTCTTGATAGAGGTGTATAACCATGAATTTTGTTTAATCTTGGCTGATATTTTTCAAGTCATGTGTGATCACCTTTATTATTATTAAGACTGGCTACATTAAGAGAGAGAAAAAAAGAGGGATTATCCAGCTAGCCAAATCTATTGGAACAGATTTCGTCAAATGCCCACTAGAAAGTTTTAAGGCAAAAAGACATATAGGAATTGATATATTCGACATGTTACCAGCATGTCAGAAGAAATACAACAAAATCTGTTGACATAACTGGACCTGCTCGGTTTCTGTTGACAATCTGTTGATAGCTGCTTTATAGACTCTGTTGCCAAAACAAAAGCCAAATGCATACACAAATGGCTATGGTTTTGGTGTGGGTTTCTGTTGAATCTGCTGCCAATCTAATGCTAATCTGTTAACATTTTGCTGACTGGGTATAAACATTTTGTGACATAAATCAATTTCTCTTGATGTTCTACATATAAAAGAATTAAGACATATCTAAAATTCAACAGTTTATGAGATATTTCTCATTTTATTTCTATTATATATCTATTATATTTTGACATGAAAGGTGAAAAGTTTCCGCAAAATACACTTTTCAACTATCTAAATATTTTTTAAATGAATTGATTAACGTAAAGATATTTTATGATAAAATATAGATGTAAGAATAAAATACGAAACGTCTCCGTAAACCCTAACAATGACATTACTATAATATTTTTATATAATACTAGAATATATTATATGTAGAAAAAGACTGATTAGAGCCACTTGTAAAAACGATGTTGATGTTGCCTGAAAGAGATGTCGTAAATAATCTTTTACGTATACATCATACTTGTCTCTTGAAATTGTAAAATTTCCTAAATATAATATTTATAAATATACAATATAATATATTTAGGATCATATATTGAAACAATTTACTATATTAGATAATACAGTTTTACTGGGAAACGTGTGTATATTTATAATATAGATGCAACGAGACAGATGTCGATGGTCTATACTATCGAGGCATGTATTGCGAATCGTCTGCGAGCGCAGGTGGCAGTGGACTTTGCATCCTCTACAACTCTTGCGTGAACGTCACGGTCGAATATCCGGAGAAAGCGGAAGAACTATGTCAGAGCAATACTACTCTTTACAAAACTGAGCGAGTGGACACGGTGGATATAGGTATACGCGCGATTTATGCTTGATGCAACCTACTTGTCCCCTTTCACATCAGCGTCAAATATTTTACGAATGTTTTCGAGAAACATTTTAACAGCTGTTTTTAAGCAGATGACGAGCACTACTGTTTCGTGAGGACGGTACAAGATAGAACTGTCTGCAACATACCTTACATATACCAATTTCAACATAATAAAACAGTTATTTTAAGAATCGCCGACAAGGTACAGCGCATATATAATGAACCTATAAATTAGCTAACAATATCATTTTATCATAAAATATAAGAAAATTTTCCTTACAAATCTCCAAGGTTACTGAATTTTATAGACTTGCCGCACAGTGATGCACGCCGCGTTTCTTCCGGCAATTATTTTTGGTGCTGTATTACTATTCGGAATTACAGGCTTATTAATGTGGAAGTAAGTTATTGCGTCTTGACAAATTTACTGTTTCAAATGGAGCTATACAAAAGTTGGATTCAATTTTAATCTTACATCTGTAAGCATAAAAAGAATTCTCTTACTATAGATATATCTCTTATTATAGGTCTTGGATCTCGATGCAAGATCGTAGAGAATATGCGAAATTCGAGCAGGAACGACAGAGGACCGTTTATGCTTTAGATGAGAATCCGCTTTTCCGCCCAGCTATTACTCGATTTAGAGTACCTTCCATGTACAAGGACGATTAAAAATAATAATTGTTATGTATGAAAACAAGGCAGAGGCACGATAAACAACAGTACAATGTAAATATGATAGATTACAAGAGAGATGAAATCTTTTAAAATATTTTGCAACGAGCTGTATTACACAGGTAAAAAACAATACAAGAATGATGAAGAAAACCATGAAAACAAGGAAGAGCGTAACACTAGAAAGAAAGTCAATACCGGAAAATAGAGCACATTAAAGGAGGTGGAAAACTAGAAAAGAAAATGTTATACTGTATCAAAGTCGAAAGGCAAGAAATAAACATTTATCTATCTATTATGCATGAAAACAAAGACATATACGTATAATAATTGTATATTTCGCTGTTGTTGTAAATATAACAATCATATTTAGAATTTGTAAATATGTCTAATAAACTGTGCTATAAGTTAATTTTTCATAAACATTTTATGACACGATTATAATTGTGATTTATATTAATTTCATCAACGTTGAATGGAAGAAGAGGAGTTTCCTTCCGAAGATCTTCTATATATTTCGTTCCAAAACTGATTAGCAGGTGTAAATGTAACGTGCTGTTTGTATATGAGAAAAGTACTTTTAACAAAACTACAAAATTGTGTAAGGAACTGTGTACGTAATATTTTCGTCACTTAATAATTTTTTATGTTTACACTATCTGAAATCGATGTGGTTATCCATTCATATCCAAGTGGTTCTTTGTAAACAATGTTCGAGACAGGTTTATTGTCGGTCCATATCGATATCAATAAAGACCCATCGGGAAAAATGTATGTTCCTGTACCATTCATCGTCCCGTTTGCGTCGACGATCCCCTTATATTGTGCATTATTATTGTACCTTGCAGAAAGATAAAAGGCATTGTTTTATTTTAGAATTGTTACGAGAATCGCAGTCTATTATAATAATAAATTAATCACCGAATGTGAAATTTATCGCTGCCAAATTCATCGTCACACCATTTACCGTCATACACCTCGAAATTATCAGTTGTGTAGAGTCCCTGGCCTAAAAATCGCGATAGCAAATATATCGGTATGTATGTATATATCGGCACATGACTCAATGATTCAAAAAACAAATATTGATAATCAGATAATCGTTAAAGATATGAAATGTTAACCTTGCTTGACTAAGGTGCGTCTGTCAATATTTACTTGATATTTTCCCTTATAGGTATCTCCATTTTTAAAAGTAAATTTCGCAGTGCCGATTTCTATGTTTGAATTTTGGCTGTCAGTCGGTTTGGAGGTCTTGAAACTATTTCGTTTCATATTTGAAGAACTTGTCTTTCCTTCCTCTTTTTCTTTCATCTCCTATAATAATATTATAATAATCTCCTATTTACATGTACTTCTTTCGAGAATAGTACATAATTTAACTCTCGCTTTAAGAATTATTATACGCTAATTATGAGAAGTAGACGCTTTCAACGTGTCGCGAAGCAGAGAGTAACGACGTCTCAGTGAAAGTTAGTCTTTTCGGGTTATTAATTATGCTTACGCACGAGAAACTTCGCTATAATGTATTACACCTGACGAACTGCACGATTTCTAAGAATTATCGAATCCTTTCTTCTTAATTGTATAATTCCAATCTCTGCGAAAAGAAAGAAAACCAAAAACGCCACAATGGAAACAAGAATGCTCGTAATTGTCATAAGAAGCAAATAGCATGTGTCTCAACGTTTAAAATATTTTGTTAAATTTCTGTGTGCAATATATTCAACCCAGACAATATGCATGTCTGGCAATTTTAATAATTCAGAAAGTTTATTGCGAAAAATATTACCTCAGCCAGGGTTTGAACCTGGACCTCCCTTATATAATAGCGCAAGATTTATTTCCAAGTTAACGCTTTCTAGGTTTGCTGGTGTATACATTCTTTCCAGTTGTCCCGGTCATCTTGGAAAAATTAGTTACATCCTGAAATAACCCCTTAAGATAGGGGTCCTTAACTCTATCACATGTCTCAACGTGAAATTTTCCGCTCTTTCCATTTCTAATGTTAACCCCTAGGTCAAGTTCAAGTTCACCACCAGATGTCCATTTTCAAACCCTAAATAACTTTTATATTTATACTTTTTTCAAAAATGTCATTCCTTCAATGTAATTTTGAGTACCCATCTTTCTGGCACATCCTGTATATTCTAAATACTTGGATATTGCTTTTTCCAATTTTTTAATATAATAAAACATATATACATTCGTTTTTTAATAATAATTAAAATTTAAAACATGTACATTGATATCATATAAATTGATGTGAAAGAAGGAAGCCAATACGGTGTGAGCAGGATGTAAGTAGCCGAATAGATTATTATGTAATTATATTGTATATTATTATTTAATTTTTTGATTTTTATTTCTCTTTCCAAATACACATATACAGTAAATAGTATAAATGTAAGAGGTCACATTTTTAATTTCCTTCTCTCCACATACGTATAATTATAATCAAAAAGACCAGAATTTTAACGGTTTCGCGATTTTCTTCAAGTAATCAAGAAACCGAAACTGGAGACAGTTACTCGATGTTTTATTAAATTATAACTGGAACCTAACTGAAAGATCCTTTTGGTCCCGGTCCCTGATACAAATATCTCGTACGGCGGTACGCAGATATTTTCAAGATATTGCAATATGAATAATTTACCTGAAAATGGATTTTTTTTTCATATACGGAGTAATATCTCTTCCAGATAACTTTGTTATATAGTTTGCATTTACATATTATTAACATATAATAGTTTTTACATATGTTGCATATTACATTACATATACGCTCTATCACCTTTATGTCAATCAAATTTGGTTTGACAATTGGTTGAACAAGCGATATTACATAAATTATTATTTAAAATTATGCTTTGGAAATCTAAAGCTAAACTGCGAGCAAATTGCATTATATGTATATTATTTGTAAGTAAATTTGCAACGCAAATATCTCTTATGCAGGGTGTCTGATAAGTTGCTGATCAACCGAAATATGTAGGTAGATTAGGGCAAGCTGAAAAGAAAAGTTAGATAAGACGATGCAAACTATAGTTTCGTCTAGACGTAATATAATTAACAACTGAATAACTATATATATTGCGAATTTTGCATCGTGTTATCTGACTTTTCTCTTCAGCTTGCCTTAATCTACCTACATATTTCGGTTGATCAGCAACTTATCAGACACCCTGTACATAATATACATATAAAACGACGAATAGGAGAAAGAAAATCTTAATAAATTCTGTAAAATCATTAAGTAGTTTGTTTAATTAATATTAACGGTAACACGTTTCTGCACTTATACTCGTATATAGTATTAAACTATTGTACAATACTCTAATGTTACTCTTATACCTAGTACTGACATCATTTACGGGTTCAGTATCACATTTTTCCATTATATATACAATACATATGTCTATTTATTATTACATTTTTTCATGCAAAGAAGATAAAACTTTATGCGACGCTAAAGACTACAAAAATAATTTGAAATTCGTTGATCATCGTTATTACTAACAAAAGGTCATATTCAGCGCCATGAAATTACTAAAAAATTTTCACAGACGCACACACAAAATATATAATAGGATAACGAACCGATAGTACAAAAGTACCGTGCCTATCACACCTCTGAATTAAAATAAGTGTAACAACATTCACTTAACGAGCAAGTCTCCCTCAATTTCTCAAATATTAAGCAAGACACTTCTAAATGGATTTATCGCGATTTGCGATTTCGAAACAATCCGTAATCATTGCGAAATCGTCGTAGATATGGAAGCTTTTTATATTGTACTAGATCCAATTCTGGTAAGATTTAAATATATTTGCACCTTCCTCTTTTCCAATAATCCCATCTTCTAACGGTCTCAGTCGTTAAACGAGACTTGAAGAGGGAGAAACTCTATGCAAATGCAATTCTATTTGTTGAAATGGATAGTATTTCTGTGTTCGATGCTATAGGTGTTTCGCGATCTCAATATATTCTCCATCTAGCGAAATAATTGAAAAGATTGAAATACGAAGAATTCCAATGCCAGTCGCAAGGCGGAAAATAAGAAAAGTTAAATTTATTGTACATGCTAGACTATTATTAAAGCGCAGACAGAGTAAGAAAGTTCAAGGCTTCCTTTCGGAGCTGGATATACGTCTGGCTAATTGCTGATGAATGTTCTGATCCTTTGACGGTGGTATACAGTTCTCTTCCGAGACAGCCGCACACTTGTTATTTTCGTGGCTCGGCGAAGCGTCTCTCACCAACCCACGAAGAAACATTGCGATGCATGGCCACGGAAATATCCTGTGTTTTATGAATTATGTAATTACTCGAGTTTGTAAGCGGCAAAATAACAACCAAATAATAATTTACATACCACTTTAGACTAAGTAGAATTTGTAAGTAACCCGGAATGATGGCATATTTCTCGTTACACCTCATCGCCATTATTATTCGATCAGCTACAGCGTTTGGACTTAGAGTTGGAATGTATCTAAATTCCGAATATATTATATTTTCATAATGAGCTTGTAACATGTACAAAGTACTTTAATTAAATGTTTCAAAAATTCTATGAAAACTTTTTTAATGTAAACAGAAACAAATTTTTATAATATTGTCTAAAAACTAATTTATACTGGAAACAGATTTAAAAATATAAGTATACAGGGTATCTTTCTCGGAAGCATTTAACACACTATATTCTAGAGATGGAAACAATCAAAAAAGGTTTAATAAATAAATGCAAAAATTAGGGTTTAATAAGTTAATCTTTTTCAACTAATTGTAAGTTAAGTTTAAAGTTAATGACTTATGTTAATTATGCAAAACTATATGTTTTTACATGATTAAACTGTTATTTACATTTTAATTGAAGTGATTTAATAAAAAAAGGAAATTAGAAGAGAGCTAATATAAATTTTTCCTTATGTATGTATAATAATACACATTATTTATAAGTATACTACATTTTCATTTTTAAAATAACATTTTTTAATAGGTCAGGCCGATGGTTCATTTAATAAGTGCATCATAAAATACCTACCTTGATTGAACATCTTCGAACATACCGGTACTGCGGATGAAATAAGGACATACCACTGTTGTGTTGATATCGTATCCTTCGTACTAGAGTAGAAAGGAGTAAAAATAAAGTGATCGATTAGTTAAGAATATGCAGGTAATTAAACAAGCTCACACGCATACATGCACATATGTGTGCGTGTGTGCCAAAGTAAAATAAATATTCCATACATTATTGATATATTATAATTTTGTTTTAATATTTTTATTCATCTGTGCAGAATTATACATATAATTTATAAAAATTAAATTGTATAAAAATCAAATTATGATATTTAATTTTGAAAATACTTTTATGATATTGGCATTATAATAAAAGATATAAATATTTATTGTATACATTATAACTCTCTTTCTCTCTTTTTGTGATATTTCTATCTAATATATTGTCTTTTCTATAAAATGGAAACAATTGAAATAATATGTACTAGAATGATTCATTTATCATCTTCCACACAGCAAAATGTATCCAAAAAATATTTGAGAGATATCTAACTATTCAGATCGCTACAGATCTATACTTTGCTCTATGAGTTGGCTTGCCGAATAAGCCAAAATTAAGTGGTAGTTACCTCAAGTTCTATTCGAAGAGCTTCGTCAAATCCCATTGCTGCAAATTTCGACGTACAATAGTCTACTAATTTCGGAACTCCGCATTGACCAGCCAAACTGGCCACACTCACGATATGTCCTTTATTGTTCTCCAACATCGTTGGAAGGAAAGCCTTTACAGTCTAAAACAGAATTATGACAAAAGACTTATTACCCAGACTACACATGATATTTATGATAAATGATAAATATTCGTAAATATACATACATATATTACTATTTATTTTTTTAAATACACTACGCAAATCAATTTTTAAGAAGCCATATCAGCTTTGGGAAAGTATAGGACAAACTTTGCGGGCACGTTTTAGAAGGTCAAGTCTCGTCTTTAAGGTGGATAAGGTACCTATCACTGTCCACCTCGTTAAACTGTCTTTTTTGTGAGGATCAAAATGAATAAAAAAATATTAGAAATTTTATAAATTTGCAGTGTTCCATGGAAAAAAACAACATTATTACATATGCTTTGAAGTGCGCCTTTAAAATAAACAATATTGCTCTATCATACCTAGGAGTCAAGCAATTGGATTTCATAACTACACTCATTGTCAGTCGAAAAAAAGCGGTACACCTAAAATTTGTCACAAAATTACCAAATTTCGAATGACGATTACTACGCGAGTAATAATGGTTTTTCAAAAAAGAAATCGAAGCTTGAAATCTCCACTTTAGGAATCGGTACATTAGAGTTTTGCGAGATAACAATTGGTAGCAGTTTGGTAACGCCAGTTAAGAAATAAGAATTGCCAGTAAGGTCGCCTTCACACTTATTTAAATTTGCGAGATAATTTTTTTGCAAAATTTTTCGTCCGAGTTTGCGACGATCTATCGATAGTACAGAGATTTAACATAGATTTTTAACATTATGTTATTGCGACTTATTCTGGCGGACATTTTAATATTATTGTGACATCTCTGTACTATATCAGCAATATCGTTGCTATATTTTATTGTAATATTGCTATGGAAAAAAACGATATTGCTGTAAAATTGCTGCAATATTATGTGGGTTTATTAGCTTGGCTAATTGTTATAACATCTTCTTAGAACTACTTCTACTCATTGTTAGTTTAACCTGCTCTACATGTCTACGAGAGGTGGTCCGGCAATTACCAGACACCCTGTATATTTAGAATAAAAATTATTCAATACTACATACACACAAACTTTTTAAGTAATGTTCAGTTAAATAGAAATGTGAGTTTGCTAAATTTGCGCAATACTTAATACACATTGCGCGAACGGATGGAATCACAAGTTGAAGTAGGAAAGAGCATTCGAAAGTGGATAGCAAGATTAAAATGACGGTGACATTGAGATATGAGAGGAACGAGAACGATTCCATCACTGTTACCACGGAATTTTCTTCACGATGTTGTTAACCTACTTTTGTAGACGTTGCGTTTTATTTTTATCTAGCTCTGCGCCAATTCTAATTGTAATTTTAATTCTATTTCTAATTCTAATTCCCTGATATATTTTCCGTTTTTATTTGTATGTAATTATTAAGTGTTTTTTAATTAGTTTCTTGAGAGTTTAAGACGAGAATCGGGATTTAAAGAAATTAGAAGTTGATTCGAATGTTTCAGAGTTTGTTCCTATTTATATCAAAATTTTTAATAATTTAAATGAGATAATGGATAAAGAATTATATAATAATAAAAGTAAACGTGATCATATTTACATCAATAATAGAAATATAATAGAAATATCTTTTACGGTCAGGTTGTTATATTTTTCTTAACTTGGCAAATTATGTGCCGAGAAATATTGATCTTGAAACACAGTCTTACAGCATTTTCGATTTTGTACATGCATAATAGATTAAACAAAACGCTGATAAATCGTGAGAGATTTTGTACATACGTGTTTTCTTTCTTGTAATATTTCTTGTAACATAAGAAATTCGAATTATTAAAACAATTACAACAAAAAGTATCCATTAAAATCAATTATTCCACTTGTAAATGTAACATTATCTTTCATGTATAATTTAATGCGCGATCGGTGAAAGTATGTTTTGTAAAGATAACTTTTGTGACAAATCTCGGATCGAGATCTCAGTCCGAGAACCGTGTAGTTAATACAATTGCCATTTTTCCATAAACTTGCAAGTTGAATTGAAAATTGGCTACACTATTTCTCGGACTGAGGACTCGGAATCTAACATCGTGGACACAAGGTTAATATAACAAAACGGACACTCGATCGGGATTCTCTCTCGTAATAATTAAGTAACTATATACGAATGTGTAATGTATTGTTATATCTTAAGTGTCCAAGTGCTCCTTCTATCTCTCATTTTTCTTTCGTTCACTCAGGACAGCACTCCGACATCCCAGATTTGCAATGCCGAACGCAACTCTTGTCCGACACAAAAAATTTATGTTATGAATTGTATTATACCATTTTGTAAAATTCACAATAGTTGTCAAGTAATTAATTTAAATGTCTGAACGAATAAGCGCGAGGAAATCTAACGGAAGCATTAAGTGTCCGAATTGGAACCAAAGGTTCGCAGTAACCACATCTAATACATTCAAGTTATTGCGCAGGAATCGTCTGTATCTACTCTTGAGTCAGCATTTAAAAAGATTCTTTCGGTATAATTTGCGATATCACCTTAAAAATGAACCCTTTTTAGAAAAAGGTTAAAAACGACGCCAAGTAAAAGCGCCACCCAATCAAGAATAATATAATTTAATTATTTAGACATATTTTGTTAGAAAAGAAACATTTTTATTGTCTCTATAAAAGTAATGATATATCTTCAAATCCTGCCAACTAAAATATATACATATTTATACAAACTAGAGGTAGGTACTTTATTATTTTTTTATATTAAAATGTTATATCCAAACAATCGAGCATAACGAAAGAAATAAAGGAGACGTTAATATTAATGAGACAAATTTTTAATACTTACTTAATAAAAATATAATGCAAACAATTTTAATACAAATAAATATTTTATTAAAAGATGGCCTATTCTAATTTAATTGTTGGATACATATCGGCTCGACATTATTGTTTATTAAAAAAACTTGCTCCTTCCTTTCAAGTATTAAAGTCTCTCTTGTTTTCGTGCATTCGTGTGCGTGTGCGAGCGCGCGTGTAGGTTATGAAATAGGGATTAGAATTAATTGCAAGTGTAGATTGTATATTTCAGCGGTTGAGCAGCGCCAAGTTTTTTTAATAAACCATTTTATCATCATCAATTATCCCACGTTACTTTTTATCAAAGACAGATCACGTGCTATCATCATGCATCATTATCTGGTAGTATATCCTTGACGAAGGTGTCAAGGACATCGCTTCGAGCGATTTTATTCTATTCTAAACTTTAACCTTGTGTAATAAAAACTGTTGCATGTGTGATGTGTGTATTGTACATACATACACTAGGATGCCTTCTCACATAAATTTGTGCACATATCTTGCATATATAGAGGGTGAGTCATTCCACATCCGACAAAATTTGTGAGAAGAATCGAGATGAACAGAAAAGTTGTGTACCATTTTGCAATTTTCGTAATAGTTAACGAGTAATTGATTATTAAAAATCGTTGTCTCAGCCCGGCCTACCGCCCAATTCGAGCGTGTGGCGAGATGTGATCGATATTGCCATGCACATGCAAAGTTATTTATCGCATTCGGCAATGGCTAGAGACCCTGTAATCAATAGAGTTTGTCAAATTCCTGCGAGTAAACGCTGGACCCCCGTTCCGAGCTATAACAATTCCTTTTTTAATCAAAATAAAATTCGACAAGAAAGTCTAAGTATAGATTCTAGGCATTTATGGACTGAGAGGATAATAGTATAGAAATGATCGGGAGCAATACTATATTTACTTCGTAAGGTACGACAGAACGATTTCGTTTCGCTGAAATGAAAAGTCAATAATGAATATAATATATGTACTCTCACAAGAGTAAAATCATAATTGCATTTTAGCAAAGATTCAAGTGGACGAAAGTCTGCAAATGGATCGTCGATTAAGTAGGAATTCGAATTAAGGAATTATTTGCGTTTGGCAAGCAAGCCGCTAGCATGTATGTCGCAACGTACGAGATTGCGACGTACTACAGCACCGACCTATCTGACCGGTTCTTGCACCTGACCAACGGCAACAAACGGGAGGAACGAAATGGAATGCCTCTCTCCGCTGATTCTCTTGGATGACTGGACGAGGCGGCAGCTCGTGATACTTGAATTCCCGATTCGCGGACCCGCGGCAAACCGGATAACTCAAAATAACAGTGGCTCGCATATCGCGGTTGTAAGACATCGTTTCGAAATCGACGTCTTGTTGCAAAACCTACGAGCGAGAGGCTGAGAACGAGCGAAACCTCTTTCCGTAGCGTCTCGGTAATGTCTCAACTCTCTGAGCTTTCTTCTCACCGTGCCAGAAGAAAATTTTCACGAGTAGTGCGATAAACTCCAGAAGGATTTGCAGTAAACGGAGCCCACGTTATGTCGGCACTTGGTTTCTCGGCGATTATATAAATAACACGAGATCATTTATTTTTATAACTTTCAGCTTACCCAAAAGTGGCTCATCACGTTAACATCCATCGTTTTGATGATAAGTTTGTCGGGAGTGTCTAAAAATTTCATTCCCGTGACGATGCCCGCGTTATTGATAAGAATAGTCACCTTTAAGTAATAAATTAAGTAAGTAAAATAAAGACAAAAATGAGATCTTACGATACAGTGCCGTTTTAAGCTTCTACAAACTTTTCTCGTGAAGAAACACTCGCGAAGAAGTGAGGACTTTGCACTTGAGTCAAAACAACAATTATAAAAATATATTATCTTATGTGGACACCAAATATGCCAGAGAACGGGTATGTGCAAAAAGACGAAAAATTATATTTCCTCGTAGTTGTTAAAACAGGTCGGGCATATCAAGCCCGACATATCGCAATGTTATGGTGCAACGTAAATACTTTCGTAATATCGTCCGCAGAAAAGTTCTCGTCCTGCGTCGAATAGCTCGATCGGCGAGTTGCGAATTATTCGTTTCTTAAGAAGACGTTTCTTTCACGCCATTTGTAGCATTTGTAAGCCATTCAGGTTGAAATGCAAAGCATGTAAAAAGTCAAAACTAATATCAAAGAAAATAATCTTTCGATGCAACATTATAATTTAATTTAGTCTAATTTTTTATTTTTTGCTCGCGAATAAATGCGACAATAGCGCTTACGGCACGTTCGTATCTCGGCAATACTGTACAAATTTCTATCTTTTATGAAACAATTTGTATAAGCTGTACAATTGCGTTACCTTGCCGATCTCTTCCCTGATAATTTTAGCCTTCTTATATATGTCTGTCCGATCACACAAATCGCAAACGTAGCCGTAACATGTACCTCCGGCTGCCTGAACAAGTTTAACAGTTTCTTCGATGCCTGGAACAAAAAAAATTTACTCGAAAACATATTGTATAATAATATACATGTAATATAATCATTATATTTTAAATTGAAACAATGAAAAAGTTAATGGAAAATATTGAGATTAAAAGATGTGGTTATTGAGAATATCAGTAACAACAAATTTTCACCTCAGTGAAACATATACTTTCTTTGCAATAGTATCAACACTTTCGATTGGGAGCAGTTGGGTGTAAAAAATTCTGTATAAGGGTCATTCCATATCAGATTTACAATCAAAATTTTGATTCGCCTGAAAATTTTTTTTCTCGTTCTAGAAAGGAAAAAAAATGACACGTATTTTTTCTTTTTAATATGATATGTAAATTTTCCAAGTTATTGATTTTTTAATTTTTAAAGTGCAAAAAATTGTTTTTTCAATAATGCTTCTACTATTCAACGAAGAGTATAGAATACATGATTAAAATATGCCATGGGATCTACTATTAAGTCCATGCTTTGATGAAAACTCAGAAACGGTATTTAGTACTTTCTATGCAACAA